GATAAGCTCCGGGGTTATCCAGCCCCAAAAGGATCGTGCAGCGGTAATTACGTGGCAATTTTTGAAATTAGTGAAAAACCTTACATATTTTTATGGGGGAAATTTTGTTTTGATGTGTTAAAAAAAATATAACGTTTTGTGGTACAAATTGCTTATTTAAAACATCCATTAGAGCAAAATTTTCTAAATAAACTCCCGTCCACTTCTTTAATATAATTAAAATGTTAAAGGAGAAAAATGAGAAGCCCGTGGCAATATCTCCACATTAATTATTCAATTAAATAATTAACCTTACTACCTAGAACAACATTGAGAATATTTTTGGTAAAGCTACTTTGGAGTCCTAGATTTTTTTTCAGAAATAAAAAATTGCCTTGAAGCCATCCAAAATGGTCCTAAGGCTCCAGTCCCACAGCAGCCATCTTGGATAGCTTCAAAACGTTTTTTTCAATATAAAGTAGCATTGATAACATATTTCGTGTTGTTGGGGATTCTGGGGAAGATTCTTCGAAGTCAAAGGTCAATTATTGAATTAATAATTAAAAAGTGGACATTGTCACAGGCTTCTCATTTGTCTTCTCTTATACTAAAGTTAGGATGGGCGATTTCTTTACGTCGCAATAGGGCAACGACATTATTGCCCCAAACAGCGAATGAGCCACCAGCCGCTTCACCGACGCTCTATCGCATAATTGACCAAAATCACAAATAATAACCCCAAAGGGCGAAAGCTACAGCATCCGCCAGGCAAGCTGAGCTAGGGAGTGCGACACTTTCCACAGGAGTGAACTACATCAAAGAGTTTGATACGTGCCACTCCCTCTGACAGCACAATAAATTAATACTTATTTCAGATATTGAATTAATGTTTCTAGGTATCTACTTCATATGACTTCAACTCCAGGATATATAAATAAAAAAAAAAGGAGTTATGCAGTGGTGGAAATGGAAATACACTGCTAAATTAAAAAAAAAAAAAGAAAAACAGCCTTTTTTCTTTGTTGTTTGCAATTGCAATGCTCAGAGTGTCAGAGTTGCCATGAGCAATATCTACATTAACATCAACTTTGTAGCATTTAGTTACAAGAGGAATGAATGAAACGAAAATAAATGCCCAATGGTCAACCAAATTACTGGTATTCATTTTTTTCCCTTGACTAGTCAAAGTGATATTGGCATCTTTTTGATAAGCACCGAAGAAACTGAAAACCCTGGGTGTGCACTGCTCAATGCAGTTGGACAAAGCATAGACAAAAATTGTCACATTTTTCCTTCTTTTTTTTTCTTTTTCTCTGCGTGAGAAAAACAAAAAAAAGTGTCGATGCCATGCTCGCATTAACCGTGTTGTGTTGTGCAGTGTACGACGATCCGAGAAAAAAAAAGCGCAGGACAGAAAGGGAGCTATGTACAATACTTGTTTTATATTGACGGCCGCCTCCTGGCAGGGAGAACCGACGGGTCTCATTTCCGCTTCTTCTTGAAGCCCCCCGCTTTCTTTCCCTGCTTCCCGATGCGGTCGTGCACCCCACGAGCCTGCTCGGTGTCGTCCGCTTCGTCCTCCTCCTCCCCCTTCCTCTTCTTCCCTCCCCTCTTCTTGTCGTCCTGCTCCTTGAGCTCCTGTGCGAATGACCAGGGGAGAGACGAGTCAATGCCAAACCAAGCCATGCTAAGAACAACAAAAATCTTTCTTGTGTTTAGTCTAAAAATGTACATACAGTAAAACCTCGCTATAACAAAGTTGAAGGAGCGGTCGTAATTATTTCGTTATAACCATTAGTTTGTTATAGCCAATGTCCATTTGTTCCCACTATTAGCAAGCAAGGGGAATTATGATTGCTTTGTTATATCCATTAGTTTGTTATATCCCGTTTTGTTATAACGAGGTTTTACTGTAGTCTAAAAGAGAAATGAAGAACTTCCAGACAACAAATGTGAGGCTTGTTACGCAACTTCCTTTTCTTCAAATCCGACGCACAATTTTAATTTCTACCTCTCTCTCCTGCCTTCTCCCCCTTCTTCATTTTTCCACCCAAAAGAGTAAAGTTAAAAATAGGTTAGTCCCATTTTTCTCTTCCCCCAGAGTTTACAAGAGGAGAGAACTGGAAAGATCTTCAACCTTGCTGAAGAGCGAAGTTGTATGTAGGTCTCTTGCTGCACTGCACCCCACACACACACCCCACACACACAAATAAGCTGTAAGCCCTTATAATTTCCAATTTGCTATGGAAGAATCAAATGCCTACTGTAAAATCATGAGCAGGTGCCCACTCAAAATTTGGAGATGACCATGTAAAACTGGGGGACTAACGCTCTTCAGGTCAACAATATGTAAAAATATGTCCTTTGTGTATCTTCCGAATATTAGAAACTTGAGGGAAGGGAACTAAATTGTGGAATGGGAAGGTGCTCGGTAATTTACGGTAGAAACAGCGAGCCTTACACAAAACGTTATGACTTTCTTATACATTTGTTGTAACTGTAGTTTGTTATAGGTGCAGCGTGCTGGAAGTACCGCTTATTATAACTGTAGTTTGTCATATCTGTAGTTTGCTATAACTGGGTCTCTTACGGATTGGGCAAAATTTGGTAGCCTTCTCATATGTATTTGTTATAAGTGAAGTTTCTCATAGCTGTAATTTGTTATAACTGGAGTCTGCTGCAACTTGGGGCAGTTACGAGCGGGCTTCGTAGCACAATGAGAGCTGTTGATTTCGTAGCTGGAGGGTAGAACAAAATGGCCGCCTCACCATCTTGGCAAAACGCTGTGCCTCGGTCACCCTCTCCATGAGGACCATCACTTCCTCTTCGCTCGTCTGGTACAGGGGAAGCTTCTTGCCGATCAGGTGCTCGATCCTCTGGTACAGCTCCACGTCATACCTTCAACAACACAAGCCCTAATTAATTAACACCAAAACAAATCAACATCATTATGACTCCAGCTGCCGGTATGAGTGTAAGGGGGTACTCTGTCGACATTCTGAGGTAGTCAAACTGACTGGTCTCTGAATAGCCGGGCTTTACCATTCCTGACACGCTGTTCAGCACTTCTACATTCAGAATAACTATCGACAAAACGGCAAATGAAGGCGACGCCAAAACCAACTCCAGTAAAGTGATGTCACTGGAGGGCACACACAGGCAGTATAAAAAAATAAATAAAAAAATAAAATAAAAATCTATACATTTTTTTTTTTTTTTCAAGCTACTCGGCGAGCGTTGAAGTGAACTTCGACGGTGTTAGATTCCCACCAATCAGTTTTTTGCAATCGTTTGGGAACAGGTTCCACTGCACAATCAGTGAATCTGTGCTTGCTGCTGGCATCAGTTTTTCAGTGTTGCCAGTAGAGACCTCTAGTTAAAGGGAAACTGAAGTGGTTCTGTATTTGAGTAAAAACGCTCTTCATTTGGCCTGCAGGATCAAGAATATCAATATTATGTTTCAATTTGGTCCACAGAGGCTGCAGAAAATCATCTTCAAAGTTTAGAAACTGGGCTACCCAGCGAAAAAAAAAGATGTGCTGAAGACAATCTGGCGTCGAGGCTGCTTTGGACTTACTGGGTCACAAAGGTTATCGCTTTTCCCGACCTCCCCGCACGCGCAGTTCGGCCCACACGGTGAATGTAGTCCTTGGAGTGCGTCGGGATGTCGAAGTTGACCACGCAGTCCACGTGTGGAATGTCCAAACCTCTAAAAAAAAAAAAAAAAAAAAAAAAAAAAAAAAAAAAATAGAAATTTGAGAATTGGGTTTAGTAGTACGAAAAGAGAGCACACTTTGCATTGGCCCCGCCTAAAAGGCCGGATCAGAAGTTATTCTGTTCACAGCTGCGTGACAAAAGGAACAGAAGAGGTTCATCTTGTGAGCCAAAGCACAGAAGGAAACAAAGTTTAAAATAAAATGAGTATAAGCACAAGTACAAGAAGGGTTACACAGTTGGGTTAGTTGATGATGCATCTTGAATAAAAAAAAATACAACACGGTAAAAACAAAGGACGAGTCAAAGAAACTGGACAGACCCAGTGGTGCCTGGTCAGTCCGGTTGCTTTGACTCACCCTAAGTTTTTTTTTTTTCGTGCTGCTTTTATTCAAGTACGAGACGTTTAGAGCCTTGTGCTAACTCCGAGCCAAGATAAAACAGTTGTGCAGAATCGAGCGCATATGCTACAAAGCTGTAAACCAGTTAAAAGTATGGGAATTCAACCAATCGCTTCAATTTCAGTAATTATAGCTGCTTTCTATGTTGCAATAGATTTTACTAACTGTATGTAACTCTGCAACATTTCTGAACTAACTTTTTGCATATTTGTTCGGTTGGTTTTTTTCCTCAACATTACCTGACAAAGACATACTAAACTTCATATCGATATTGCCTAAATATCAAGTTCTACAATATTAAGCAGGGGCTTTTAAAGGGGCACTGACACTCCAAAGGTCGTATTTTTTTTTATTGTCTAAAACGATGCACGTTGTAGTCATAGACACAAAAAAAAAAAAAAACGCATTGCGAAAAAGACATTTTCTTACCCGTGCACACGCCTTTTTATTTTTGGCTCTTTCCTCTCCCGCTTTTCGCCTCCTCGCTTCTTTTGATTCGCGACGTCAAGAATCATAAAATTTAGAAGCTTTGTAATCGACATTTCTATAACATTTATTAACGGAAATCGTAAAACATGTTTTTTAACGCCGTTGTGATGTCGCCTCCTGGATTTTTATCCTCCCTCGGAAAACATGGCGGCACTCGACGCATGTAGCAGAGGGTGATCAGTGAGTAGGGGAATCGGACAAAGTGGTCTTTTTTAGGCGCCCGACGACCTCTCAGACTTCGAAAAGGAAATGGTCAAACGGTCAAAACTGGGTTTGGTGTCTGTGTATCGTAGTTTCGATTGTGACACAGCCGGGGCACCGTCGTCTGCTCAAAGCGATAGGCAGCACGGCTTTCACGCAGGAAACCGGTTTCCTGCCTGGTACAGTGGTTCCCGCGACGCCGGCGCCCTTCTTCCGCTCTCACCTCCTAGCTTTCGGAGCGGAGGTGCGAAAGAAACTCAACTCTAAGGAGCCCTCAAATGTTGACTTCACTCCACCTAGCGCGGATCGTGCGGGAACTTCGAATTCCACATTTAGAAATTGTTTCTTTACATCACAAATACTAAATTTCCAAGTTTCGAATTTTGAGGGTAATGTCCAGCCACCGTTTTCAATCCTTTCAAGCAATAAAAAAAAAAAAAATATGGTTTTGATCTGTCAGTGCCCTTTTAACAAAGAGAGAAAAAATACCTCTGCAAAAAACGTTTTCATGCTGAAACCTGTACTGTTTCTCAGCAATCAAAGAAGACCTCGGTATTCTGGAATGTCTTACAAGTAGCTGTAGTCATTTTATGAATAACTGTAACTAGATGCATCTGGAAAAAAGATACTCTATTTGTAACTCTTACATTTTATCCAAAGTAATTCTACCTTAGGTACTACTTTAAGAATAACTAACTTCTACAGCTGGGATAAGTTGTAAACATACCATAGAATACCGTGCATCCACCCATACCACATTAAGCGCCCATTCTCAAATTTGTAAAATCTGAGAAAATATGCACACTACATTGATATTTAGAATTGATGACCGGACAAGCGCCCATCCCCCATTTTCTCATGATTATCTCAAAATTTTGAGTGGGCGCTTGCCCGGTATTTTACGGTAAACTTACACAGGAACACCTTGTTGATGTGTTCCTGGCATTGAAACAATAATTCTGCATTATATGAAACAAAGTGCGAAGGCAGCTTTAACACCAACCTGCTGGCAACATCAGTGGCGATCAGGATTGACCGGTTCTTGGACTTGAACTTGTTGAGTGCACCAAGACGCTTGGCCTGAACGCAAGGAAAGCCGAGAGTCACTGTGGCGACATCTCCCACTCAAGACAACGCTATTTACAATGATTACGAAACGTGTTTGTTACGTTTTGGAAGCACATGAAACTTGCTTTCCTATAATACGCAACGTCTTCACAGAGTACTCGCATACACATCAGCAAGACAAGAGACAAGCTGCAAACCCTACACAGGCACCATTCCCTTTGTTGTTCCCTGCCATTTACCTTTACAACTGCCATGTGCACGGGGAAGACCAATTGGGGCAAAAATGGCATCGTTTAAACATTAGAGAAGCTCTCACCTTCTCTGATGCACCCATACATTAAACAAAAAATAAAAATCTTTATATCAGTAACCCAAAGCCCACACCGGTAATACAAGCATGCTTCAACTTTGCCTCAATACACGCCTTTGCTACAGAAAAGTTTGAAGTCCCCCATTGACCAGTTAGGCGGTGATTAACGGCGAAGGCCACGGAAGAAAGCCCACCTGTCCCATCTGGCCGTGCAGGGGTATGGCGGTGAATCCGAGGTTACGCAGCAGCAGGGCCGTCCGCTGCGTGTTGCTGCACGTGCTGCAGAACACCATGAAGGAGTTCCCCGCCAGTTCGTTCAGCAGATGAACCAGGTACACGTCCTGAGCGACGCAACCGAGCAAACAAAAGTCAAATGAGTATACCTTCGAAATCACAATGACCGACGGTATTCGAGTGTAGTCCCGTCCCCTCGTTCAAGCAAACCGCAAATGACCAATAAGCTACGACACTCTGTTTTGCCTTACAATGAATTGCAGAGGACACTATCCGCCATTCCAGCCAATCCGGAACTGTGAGTATGCGTGGCCACAAACCCCGTGCATTGCTGCACTCCTCTCCAAGGTCACATGACATTAACGTTGCATTCCAAGGGCTTTGATGGCTCGTAGCATTCTCTACAATCCGTCGCAAGGTAGAGCAGAGCATACAGTATGGCATTTACATATTCTAAATTATTTTACGTCCCCAGCCTTAACACTCTTTGAAGTGCACGAAGCACTGCGCTCCAGAAGAGTTTGTGGGAATAAGACACAAAAAAAAAGGGGGGTAGCCAAGTGAATAAATTAACTGTTGCATGTGATTTATTTGCATACTATATCGATATAACACACATTTTTGTTTTCATTCACAAATAAATGTGGTTTACAGTGGTTTACACTATCCCACTCATTAGATTCATTTATTACACTGGTTCAAAGTAGGGTAAATCGAAAACTACGCTCAAGGTATCGGAACTGTTTTCCCCCCTTTGACTAATGCCACGACGGTCATTTGCCCATCCACATCGTGCAACATTCGTTTACGTGCTAGGGGCTCATGAACGCTGCTGTTCCATTGCTCAGAGCCAGAAGGGGGGCTGCTGGCAACAGTTATGACCCAAAAGTGCAGCCTGTTGAGTTTGAGATAAACCATCGGCAAAACACTGGCAATATTGTTCACTCTATTGCAGACTGCCTTAGCAAGCAGAACGGCAGAAAGCACTTCCTGCATTGTCGTCGGGCACAATGGCGAAAGCTGGTGACCACTGGCAACAATGGCAAAAAAATGGTCGAGGTGGCATTACTCTGAACCATAGCTCATTCATTGGTTCCAGCTCGATACTGTGGCATTATTTCTCACCATAAACTTGATCACTGTTATTACACTGGCATGCTTTTATAAACACACTACTAACATATGCAACAAATTAAGAAATATAAAGAGAAAGAAAAGCCAGAATTAAACACAGTAGAATGAACTACTCAGTATCTGTGTAAGAAAACTTTCTCACGCTTTTCTCACTATGGAAGTAGGCAACATTATTGCTTTTTTTTTCTTTTCTAATAGAACATAAAATAAGCAATTATTTTTAATGTGGATATGATATAAGTCTTCCAGATGAGGCAGCCCCTTTTACATTTTATGAAAGGAGACGGGAAGCAAGGCAAAAGGACGAAAAGTTTTTTCTGCTTGTTTGTTTTCCCATGTATGGTCTATTTATGCGACATGAAAAAAATGTGCGAGCCATCTTGTCATCGTGTAAATGTGACCTGCACCGACCTTGAACTTGGCGGGAATGAAGAGGTAGTACTGCATCAGTTTCTCGACTGTCTGGTACTTTGAGGACACCTCCACCTTCACTGGGTCCTTGAGAGATGCACGCTGAAGCTTTTGCACCTGGGAACAGAACAAGGACCAAACTGCATCTCACAAAAGCTTTCTGGTCTTTCTCATCCCATCAGTTATTTGGAACACATTCTGCTGAAGTCTAGAAAAAGTGTGCAAAATACAAACAATTTTTGCAGTGCCCCTAGCATAGGGGTGCTGCAATGAGTCAGACGAATGGATGGATTGTATTGGCTACACCCTTTGTATCGGGCAGTAGGTTGCACCACCTAGCATTGAAAATTTCATACCCCTCATGTTTAGATTTTGCTCTAGATTTTATCGCTACTTGAATCATCTAACCCACAAATTGTATAAACAATCACACCTATCTACAACGTTCCACCAATCTCCCACCGCAAATGGAGCCCATTGTTGGTTTACTTATGCCAGCGTTAATGTTAGCCAAACAAAAGTAACAGGATTACAAAGAGTGGTATTACAGGTTGGAGAGTTTGGGCCACTCAATCTAATGGGGCCATTAGTGTGAAGCATGCTGTGCGATGAAAAGTTGCTGCCATTGTGTTAGAATGCAACCCTAGGCTTCACACAAAATTTGGTTTTTCTCAGTGAATCTGGCAGTCATTTGCAGTAATACCCTAAGCGGTAAAGCTTGGTGACTACGAACACCCCTTCCACTTAAAATGTGAAAATACATAAATGTTGTCTTTGGTCTTACAGTGTTGCCAGTATGCATTTGCTATTATCCTTTGCTAGCGTGCAACTTCCACAGTCAATCAATTATTTTTGTTTTCACACACAACTAAAGATGTTGCAAACTTGTGTTGAACCTTGAGGTTTGACTGGTTCGGCAAACCTCGAAGTTTTGGCAAAATTCAACACAGTTTAATTTTTAAACATTGCTGCCCGACCTTAACACAAAAATCTCAAATTTCGAATGAAAAAAAAAAATGCACACAGCAGCTTATATTAATATGTAGGAAATAACTACACCAATGTTTGTACACTGTAAAAGAAACAACCTTTTAACAATTATGTCAGTTTGTCACCCTCCTCCGCTGGGTGTCAACAGTTTGTGCTCAGTAGACCAGGGGTGGCCAGGCTGATCCAGCCTAAGAGCCACAAACAAAACCACTAATCTACCAAGAACCACATCGAAGAGGAAAGGAAGAAAAGGGGAGGGGGAAGGAGGGAAGGGGGGGGGGCTTTAAACCTTTTTTTAGGGCAAGAACTGAAACTTAAAATACTTTATCAGGGGAGGCCATACAGGTATATGCAAAGAGCCACCAAAAAATAACCTTTTTAGTGAAGAACTGCAACAAAAAAGGGGCGTGGCAAGTTTTTCTATTTCGTCCAACAAAGCTGGTGATCATGTTGAACGTCAGTCATGCAGCGATCCTTCCTTGTGCCTCTGCATTGCGCTTCCCCACTCATGAAGCAAACACCTTGAAGTCTGGCTCGAATGACGTGGTTGCACTCCGGAGTAGCTCAGTTAGATTTTGCCCACGAGGGTCAGACGCCGTCTTGATTTCATCACTTTTATTGTTGAGAACAGTGCCTTGCAGCAGCAGGTGGATCCAAACATTGAGAGATGTTTCTGGCCCGCATGCTTGATGACCTTGCTTCTGGCACCTGCCGCCAAAATTCAAGTCTCCGCAGGTCGCACAATCATCTTCAGTCCCTTGTCCTTTTGAAGCTCCAAATTAGGGGCATTTCTGCCTCACTGAGTAGCACAAGCGTCGCGAAACACCCAGGTAAAACACCCGATTAACAGTTTCATCTGAAGGAACAAACACAGAGTGAACAATGCCCGATTTTTCTCAATGTTTTCATCAGTTGCGGAGGTTGAGGGCCACTCTGAATGAGGTTGGTCGTCGATCAATAATTCACCGGCCTTGAAGCAAGAAAACCACTAGTAGATCCGCGATTTCTTCGTAGCATCTTCTTTGCAGGCTGCCTGAAGCATTACAAGAGTTTCCGCCGCCGTTTTCCCTAAAAGAAAAAACAATTTCACGGCCGCACGCCGTTCCCTCAAGTTAGACCTTACAAAAAACAAGGAAGGATTTTGAAGCGCTTGGGGAAAAGCTTCACAACATGCCGCTAGAACTGTGGCAGACGACGCCGGTCGGCAGACCGGCTCGGTAGGGGTGCGGCTAAGCGCCGCTGTCGGCAGGAGCTGGTACTACGAACAACCCGCCATCCAGAAATTCACTCCGGTTAGATTTCGGTGCCCCCTCATAGAAGTCTGGCTCTGTGTGCTGCCACGGATTGCGGCGGCACCCCGGGGTGTCTCCCACTCACCTTCTTGGTCATGGTGGCCGAGTAGAGGTATGTGTGCCTCTCCCGGGGGATGACCCGGAGGATCTTGTCCACCTCCTCCTCGAAGTCCATGTTGAGGATCCGGTCGGCCTCATCCATGACCAGGTACTTGAGGGCCTTCAGGCTGAACCCCTTCGTGTTCTCCAGGTGGTCCACCAGGCGCCCCGGCGTCGCTGCAACCAAATGCCGCAATTCCAAGACGGGAAAGTCAAAAGCCGAGTCGACCCGTCGGCTTTTAAAGGAATTGTGCCAACGACGGGAGGGATCGGCGATTGAACGTGTTGACGTACCGCGGCTCAGAGCGCGTGCAGTGAAAGGCTCGCGCCGCAGAACGCGGAGATCCTGGGTTCAATCCGCACACCTGTTCGTTTCGATCTGGATGAACGTTGCACCAACGCACGGTCATGCCTGGTGCTTTGCACCGGCTAGATTTCTCGTCTACAGCCGAGACACCAGACGCCCGTTGGGGCTGACTAACTTCTCGTCTCAGCCATACGATTTGTGATGGCGCAAACTGGCCTTTCTCAAAAATTACCCAGCACTAGGGAGCATGACAAGAGTGACGTTACATGCGCTGCACATGCTGGCGTCTCCGCCAGTAACTTTCTTAAAGCCAAAACTAACTCACACTTTGCATGTGCATTTTTGCGGACGCCTTATTTCTGTGATCTCCTTAAAATCTTTCGTTCCGGTGAGGCGAGCACGTGCGGTGCGTGTACCTACGTTCCCCGCATCCTCCTTGGTGTGTGGGTGATTTGGTGAAAGGTCTACAACAAAGTAGGTTAGAAGCAATCCCAAAATGAGATCATATCAAGTACATAGAAAACAAAAGAAGGGACAAAGCGATACACGCATGGCAGAAGCAGATTACATAAAGACAGTCGTCAGCAGAAAAGTAAAAGTTGAACCTTGGCAAGAAACACAAGTATCAGGACGTAATCGACGACATCAATAACGAATGAGGTCTAGAAAAACAATGCTGGTTTGAAATGCTCAAAAGGTTTTAATGGTGCAGTGATTTCTATTTGAGTGAGAATCCGTTTAGAACTAGAGAAATTCAGTTTTAGTTTGGCTGTCAGGGTAAGCCTTTCTGCTACTACTTTTAAAGGCATATAATTAGCACAGAAACCATATACGTATGTCAACTTTTCAATATAGAAAAAATCCATGACAATAAAATGTGACACAGAATCAAGGTAATAATACAACTTACCGATTACAACATGTGGCTTCTTGGCTAGTGTCAACGCTTGGGTCATCATGTCAATGCCTCCCACGACCACAGCTGTGAAAGAGCAAAAGCAAATTTAGGTGAAGTGGCCGGCATTCACAGTGAGCGAAATAATTGCCAGACCCAATTTCGGTAAGGTTAGGTCTGGCATCATGTTTGCAGGTTAATCAAACTTTATAATATATCACCCGACAGAAAACATTTGTAAAAAAGAACCACCGATCCCCTCTTTGCCATGCAGTGATGTGATTGGCCTAAACCAATTTGGAGCACCCTTCGGAGCAGCCAAAACAGTGTTTTGGAGCAGGAAAAGTGGCCTTTGGAGCAGCCAAAGCAATGTTTTTTTTAGCAGTAAATGTGGCTTTTGGAGCAGCCAAAACAGTGTTTCGGAGCAGCAAAAGTGGCTTTTGGAGCAGATATTCTTAGAAAAATAAAAAGATTTGTTTTAAGTGATGGACAAACGAAGGGCACTTTGCTCACCGCAATAAACAAATTATGGTCAAGTTAGACCACCAGGGAGTCTTTCAACATGTAACTGAAATGCCAATGACACTACACATTTTGCAATGCTTCAGATAAATATATATATATATATATATACACACAGGGTGTTTTTTTTAAGCTGCATTAAATTTTCAAAAAGAAAGGGAACGTGAGATAGAGTAATTTGAGCCCTGGGGAAATGTTAGTAGCCATGGCGGCCTCTAGAAAAAAGGTAAATTAGGTAATTAGATTGCTAATTAATTAAAATGTTTTAACTAACTTTTTAACTTTTCACTTGAGGGCACCTAATGCATTTACAGGATTGAAGATCGGCCACAGTATGGTCTGGCCGTGTCGTCCAATTTGGATAAAAAAATTCCTAGTAGGCACTACGGGGTCGAGAAATGTCACTTTGGTAAATGGCGTCAAACCGAAACTGAACAGGAAAGAGCGCCGGTAGAGTTATCGCTCCGCCCTTCCGGGCATGCGATTCGTCATTATCACGGCCGGTTCCACTTGCTTAGGCGAGCCGGCTGCGATAATGACGAATCGCGTGCCCGGAAGGGCGAAGCAAGAACTTTACCGGCACTCTTTCCTGTTTAGTTTCGGTTTGACGCCATTTACCAAAGTGACATTTCTCGACCCCGTAGCGCCCACTAGGAATTTTTTTATCCATATTTGACGACACGGCTAGACCATACTGCGGTTGATCTTCAATCCTCTAAATGCATTAGGTGCCCTCAAGTAAAAAAATTAAAAAGTTGGTTAAAACATTTTAGTGAATTAGCAAACTAATTACCTAATTTCACCCTTTTTCTGGAGGCCGCCATGGCCACTAACACTTCCCCAGGGCTCAAAGTACTCTATCTCACATTCCCTTTTTTTGAAAATTTGGTGCAGCTAAAAAAACAACAACCTGTATATATTTATATGTACCCACTAGAGATAAATAAGAACAAAAACTGCACATATTAAAATTTATTTGGAAATGGCCAGCTTAGTAGTAAATACCACAGCAATAGGTTGACTAGTTATATAATATAATAAATTGAAGCAGTCTCCGACTAATGAAACACGTAACTACTGCAGTGCAATGCGAAATTGTAGACAAGAAAAAGGTGCATTATGACTAGCGGGTGCTTCTCTTTTTGCTATTCGAAACTTTCTGCAAGGCTGCTGCAAGCCTCGCTTTGCCTTCGGCAAATAATGAATGTCCACTTTCAATGTCTCCAAAGAGACAGTGAAACATCTTACAAGTGTACAGTGCTGTACACATTGCCGAACAATGCCGAGAAACCGCTTGCCACCGTTTTACTGGTTCCCGACGCGCCACATTTTCGTCAAAAGTAAGCGAACGTAAAGCAATGGATTGCAAGCATCCCGGCTGGTGCCTCTTGTCATGCAATCATGTTTGCATGCACGTGAGGGCAGCTTCGGCAGCTTGCAGTTGCACACGCTTTGTCGCGCGAGCGGAGACGGCTGTTCGATCGAAACTGAAACCATGCCAATCTGCTCCGCCGCCAACTTGTTCCCAAAATTGTATGCAAAATGTTACTCTCCAGCATACGACAAAAAACAGTCCAGCGGTGCGTGCTTGCCAGACCGGCAGACGAGGTACAAGCTAAGCACACAGAAAAAAAAGAACCTGAGCGCATCAATGCAAGACCTCGCGAGCCAGGGTCAAAAAGCTCTTGGAGTGCTTTGTGCAATGACTGAACTCGAGACAAACAAGCGCACTGTGCGGGATCAGCGTGCAGACATTGCCTTCTTTGTTTTAGCTCACTTCTCTTCACCAACTTTCTTTCGCGGCAGATTTTTCACGTACCGGGGTCTCTATCGAAAGAAAGCCCACTGAGAGAAACCTAGGTAATCAATACTTGGACACAGCAGTCTTTGAGTTAAAGAGAAATTTTTGTAGTAGCGTCTGACTTAAACATGAACATGAATCTTGATTACCTTGCGGCGGTCTTTACGTTTCAGTTTAGAAAGCGCCATACCTGCAGCGACATGGGGATGGAAACACCCGCCGTCTTGCGATCATGATGACTGGTAGGCAGGGACCAAATAGTTTTTTTCACGGCAGTTGCTTTCAAGAGCGAGTGCTTCAGCTTACAAAGTAAGCTGAAGTCGTGCTAAAATGTTGCTTTGTTACACAGCATGACGGCATGGCTGGTACCCGGCACGCTAGCGTCAGAGCGTCCGCACACGTTTGGATCCGTCGCCACAAAAAGTTTAAAAAGACGTGAGACGAGACCCATGAGACGACGAGAGAGTGAAACGAGAGACTGCAGGAAAAACCATGCAAGACCAGATGGGTGACTGATGCAGGGTACTTTGTGTCGAGTGGCCGCTTGTGCCACCTAGCTCACGCATGCTCAATTACGGTACTCAAGTTTAGTTTCGGTTCTGAAAGGCGACCGAAATCGGTCCTTTGGCACAGGCTTGGAACAGATTACCCATATTTTGGCAAAACGTAGCAGGATGTATCAGGGTTAGGCCCTTGGCGCAGTTTGGCGTAGCAATCACGTTCTCCTGTACTGGTCTGACAAACCCATTGGCGGCCTATTTCGAAGCACGTGCCCGGCTACACGCACAATGCCGACAAGTGATCAGCTCTACCAAAAATGCCTACATGAGGTTCACTAAAAAGACGTCGCAACGGCACCATGTGCGGTGAAAGGACGTCCATTCTCCATCACCATTGATGAAACGCCAGAACTCCGCAGACGTCCAGCAGTAGCGTAGCAGTACTAGAAACGTTCCACGACGGCGATATTCCTGGCCGTAAGACTGATGATAGACTTGTAAGTGCTCCAACAGTGAGCTGCACTGTTGGAGCGAAAGGCATACTCCATGCTAGGAGTCATTAATCGAAAAGAGTGTGCCGCCATCAGCAACACAAACCTTGCTAAGTATTTTTGTATTTACTACAACAAGCCGTAATGCTTGTGGAAGTGTGCATGTGCTGAACCTATGGCTCACTGAAATGGCGTTCAGCCTTGTGGTGCGTTTCCAGGGTGTCTAGCAAATTATTATTTTGAAATTCCCCGACTTTTCCAGGTTCTCCCCGACATTTTCAGGAGAAATTCCCTGACCACTGTAGAGGCAGCTAAGTATATAAGACCATTAGAACACAAGGCATCGAGCATTGAGCACTGAGGATAATTTTGCACGGGCTTACTCCAACTTGCATATTCTGAAATATTCGGACTCGTCCAGTCCGGATTAAACGAGCGTTTTGTTGCCGCTGACATCGTCGGTGAAAAAGTCACTTCCAGAAATACAATGAAAATGCGAAGCTCAACCACACACGTCAATAACCGAATGGCAGCATGGCCGCCAGATGCAAACTTTTAGATACTTTCGCTTAAGGCTGGGACTGGATTAGATTGGGGCCTGCGGCTTTCTGATTTGTTACCAGATCTAGTAGCTTTAACTGGATCTAGCTTAGTGTCGCACCCTCAATCCAATCCAAGGCTTGGACTGGATTTGTCAGCTGTTCCCTTTGCTTCGGGCAGCACACTCTCATCGCGTAAGCTGAACCCGCGCCCTGCTGTAAGCAGAATTTATTGCCTGCTTTTCTGCCCCTTAGTCCTCAAGTCTTTGCTCAGGGCACTCGATGGCGTTTCCGGCTCATTTTTTTTCCCTGACTGGGCTCGCTTTTTGAAAATATCCCTGACAATTCCCTGATTTTTCCCGGTAATTAAAATTTCCCTGACAATTCCCGGGTTTCCCAGTCGCTAGACACCCTGGTTTCTCTCTGGACATTCCTCCTCTTTACCTAAACCTTTCGGCAACTGGGAATACAGCATGCGTCTGTGTTTAGGCCTTTCTCTGTTTATCCCTTCTCTTAGCTTGGAAAAAAGTAAACTCTGAATTTCGAACATTTGGGGTTCTATCAAAAATAAACCCCGAATTCGCGATAAAAAATAAACACTAAAAAAACTCCCGCCAAATTTCATCAAAATAAACACTAAAAACACGGAACCCTGATTATAATGGATACCTCACAACAAAGACAAAACCTTCAGGAGCAAACTGTGTAAAGACGTGCATTTTTGCCTCGTCATTATGGACTCGCGTTACAAACAATCGTTGGACGGAACAACGGAGTTCATTATAAATAGACACGACTGCGTACATGCCCTGCACCCGACGTCACCCTATCAGCTCCCTGGCCAACACCAGAGAAGAGGGGAAGGAGGAACTCCCCTCTCACCGGGACTCTCTTTTGTGTGTCCCAGACTTACCTAGACGTCACTGTTCTCCCTCTAGAAGATCATAGAGGATTAACCCGTCATCTGTAATTCCTACAAAAACCAGCTTTCCCCTCTCTCTCCCCTGTGGCGGTGCAAAATGGATGATGTGACGAAGGTGGGAGGCACGCACGGCCGAGCTGTACACACCGTACCCCAAATGTCACCACGTCCTCACCGCACTTGACTCCGATCCCGGCCCCGAGCGCCTCAAACTGCTCCGAGATCTGGAAGGCGAGCTCTCGTGTCGGTGTCAGCACCAGGGCGAACAGGCGCTGCGGCGTTTCGAGGAGGGCTTGCAGGATCGGCAGGGCGAAGGAACCGGTCTTTCCCGACCCGGTTTCGGCAAGTCCGATGACATCCTTGCCTGTTGTGGAGAAGGGACCATGTTGTGGTAAGCGTGAGAAGGATTGTGGTAAGCGTGAGGTCCCAAAAGAACATAGGGGCTGGTTCAGACCTTCGTGTTTAAGTTCACAACTTCGGTTCCACTATGATGCGTCCCGTGGACGTCAGATGCCACAGCGACCACCTCATTGTAAGCAGTCGGTCCCACCCAGATGCCAGCTTTAAGTGTCATGGCAAAATATCGGCAGACACTCCGGAGAGTTCTTTCTTCTGCTCCATCGAGCATTTTCAATGGCCATGGTGTTCCGATCGCCTTTATCACTATTGTTGATTGTGGAGAACAACTTGTTTTCCAAGCACCTATGCTTATCTAATATAAAGTTGACACAGATTGAGACTAATTTAGAGAGAAGGCGAAACGGCTTTGTATTTCATTAGAAACACTTGACTTGTTTTAACCCAACTTTAAGCATCATGAATATCTCAAAAAGCAGGCTATTTCATGCCTGCATCACCTAGAAAGACGCCTTTGAAGTTGCATTGAAACCATGCCCCTCCACGGCAGTGGGAGAGGTAAGTAAACGGAGAAGAAAAAAAATGACGTCATGAAAGATTCCTCCTCGATTCGCAGAGCCAGCATCGTGAATCATCAATACTGAGCTAGTTTGTGATTCAAGATTCTGAAAGATGCCAGCTGAACGTAGGAAGATACACAAAGAGAAAGAAAAGAGGGCAAACACACTGCCGAACTAGCAATTACTCACTGAAGATCTTTTTCTTCCACACCCATATATCAGAACGAATGGGTGTGGAAGAAGAAGAGGATTATCTTCAGTAAATGGTTGTTAGTCCAGCAGTTCCTAACATCTTTCTACAGAAGATGCAGGCACCTCAGTGAATCGAAAGAGCTTACGCGAAGCGGAGATGAAACGAGGTAAGGATTTCCAGTTGATTTATTTCAAGTATTTCCAGTTGAGCGACAGATTATATTAGAATCGTGCCTGCTCACTTTCTGATATCACGGCTCGACCAACCACAATGGCGGCGAGCGGCTGCATTTTTTTTTTTTTTTTTTCACGTTTAGTGTAGTTTTGAAAACAAATGATGGTGATATTTAGGTTCTCCAGGAAATACTACACCAAAAAAAAGCACTAACTCTTTTTTTTTTTTTTTTTTACTTTTTCAACTTTTACTTTTTTAACGCTGGCTGAAGAAAATTTCCTGTGCGTGCCAAAGATGCGAGCCATTCACGAGCCCGCAAGTCTGCGCGTGTCAAACTAGTGCAATGGCCCCCAAAAAAGAATGTTTTGTTTATAAACCATATGGACGGCTTGATCTAAACATGAACCGTCCTCGCGATAACGAAACATTCTAATCTAGCGTCTAGTATTTTTCTAACAAAGCTCATTAACACTCCAAGCAAAAGTACGATTTAGCTGACAACTCTAGCCGACTTGACTTCGATGAAACCACCATTTAAAGTTTATTTGGAGTGTAAATGGAGTTTTATTAAGGATAACACCAAAGAAACAGAAAAAAACGGTGGGCACGAATTATGGAAGTGCGAGCTTACCTTGCAAAGCCAATGGTATAGATTCCTTCTGGATTTTTGTAGGGGATTTCCATTTGAGTTGTTCGCATGCTTCGCAGAGGACATCGACGATGCCCTGTTAGATAGCAACGCAAATGGATAAACTTTAGCCAAATGTATTGACTGCGGAAACTGTCACACAGGCAACACGTGTTCAGGAAGAATAGCGTTTTAGCAAATATTACGCAAAATATAAGTGCCAGAAAGAGCTCAGCACGTGAATTAGTGGTCGAAATGTTTGCTCACCAGTGACTTAAAAGTGACCTCTTCTTCTTGGTCATCTAAATCGACGATATTTGCGCCTTCGGACGTCTCTGGCTCATTGGGGGCCGCCATGTTTGTTTAAGGCTCGTCAATTCAGTCCCCCTGACGGAAGCAGATAAAAATATGCGTTGCAGAACGAAAGCGATGTAGTAATTAAAACAATATATCACAAAATAACTTTTTATGCAATTAACATTTACAAATCATCACGTAATAAAATTATATAAACAATAAAAAACAGCGAAAGATATTAGTCGATTAGAATCGCACTGTCCTTACTTTCTGAATCGCAGCATACTCGCGGTAAACATCAAGTTTCCCAAGTTTCAAGATGGCGAAGCACCACCCCGATTTGATTTTCTGCCGAAAGCAAGCCGGCGTTGGTATGAAATGCAACCTTTTCTCTCATGAATTAGCACCATATGTGCTCTAACGACCGACTCCGGTCCCGGGAAGTGATGAGACTCGATGTTATGTCTTCGTATCACTAACTTATACGGTCTTTTCTTTGCAGCCATCGGGCGCCTCTGCGAGAAGTGTAAGTAGTGAACGTATGAATGTCGTTGATATATCTTGGGCTGCGGTATTACAGCCGCACTGTACTCGAGCTATCAGTTGTCTATTTAAGACAAGGCATATCCGAATGTTAGTCACAGTGTATGCCCCTGCGACTAACTTGTTGCCGCGACAGTAACGTATTGTAGCGACCGGGGAGGGATAACAGTAGCACAAACAAAAGTGAGCCTGCCTATTTTCCTTCATACGTGAAGTTAGCCGCGAGAGAAACTAAGATTCCATCCAAAAATGCGCCTTCGGGGTACGAAGAATCTGCCCAGCTTTCAAAAGGCAAAGGTACTCCAAGACGACGTCCGACAAATCTTTCAGCCTTCCCACTCTGGTGAAGAGGGAAGGCCAGCGAAGCTGTACAATGGAAAGTAATGGCCGGCCGCAAGTCGGCAAGCCAGAGCGGAAAGGCTGGAAAGGTTGCCGCCGTCGTTCATAGATGGCGGTAGCTGTCCGAAGTTTTGTTTCGACATTTATTTGCCCGCGGACACGATACTGGAGAAACTAGCCCCCAACAGCTCCGCTGTAAAAATTCATTCTGAGCGGCATGTCTGAAGCACATGTTTTGTTGTTCATAAATCGCGGCTTAAAAGCACAACCCAATTAGCTTCAATACGCCTCGCAAGTGGGCTCATTTTCGTCTTCTGCGCATGAGAAAGGAAGTAGCGGTGACGTCAGAACGCAGAGTCCCGATTGGCTGATCGCCACCCCCTATCTGAGCGTCGTCTGCTCCTTTGCAACGTCGTCTGCTCGCAACATCGTCTGCGTCTGTCTTACCTTTCCTGCGACTTTCGGAGCGAACTCGACTTCGCCTTTAAGGGAGGGCAGACGAAATAACTCGAGCGTTACGTTGTTTTCGTCTAACAACTAGCAGACGCGCATCAAGGAGGGAAGTCAAAGGACTCACTGGCGAGGTGTCCCGGGGCGCCGAGGTTTGTTTGCTTAGTGTCCGCAAGTTCCCTCCCAAATACTTTTTACCTCCATTCGTGTGCGGCGAGACCCCTCACTCTTTAACGGCGCCGGCGGGTTGGCGCAGTTAACGTCGTCTGCTTTACGTCTGGTAGTCAAAGCGATGGCTGCTTTACCTTTCCTGCGTCTGTCGGAGATTCGCCGCTTTTTCACCGGCGAGAGTCACCGTTGCCTCGGGAAACAAGGAGATAACAAGAGGAAGAAATTGACCTTTTAATCTAAAATTGAGGTCAGCGATCAAAGTATAACACGGGAAGGGTTCACAAGGGTCGCGCGGGCATATTCCATTCAGCACGTCAGCCGGCCGTGGGCAGACGGTCGCCGAGTCGCGGAGTGCCTGCTAGGCCTAACTGCCCAGCTCGTTTGGTCGCGTTCGGTGGAATCGTCGCCGTTGGAGCTTTTCCCCGGTGTCTGTGGATCCAGCGTTCTTGTTCGTCGTGCTCTGTTTCAAGTAATTTTTACTTTTTTTTGGCTGCTTGAAGTCAGGACGCGTGAGAAGCTCACGTAGAAAAATAAACGTCCTTGGGTCGTCGCGACCGCGACGCTGTCGGCCATGCTGAGTTGATCGTAAGAAGTGCGTAAGACAGCTTCGGAGCTGTTGTAGGATTTCGCCGTAACCTGCGCAAAACTTGCGAAAATTTCGTTTCGTGAATCTGGCCTCTGCACTTCCGAAAGTCGCAGGAAACGTAAGACAGACGCAGACGACGTTGCGAGCAGACGACGTTGCAAAGAAGCAGACGACGCTCAGATAGGGGGGCTCGATCAGCCAATCAGGGCTCGGCGTTCTGACGTCACCGCTACCCCCTGCGCAAGGAGCAGACGAACTTGCCCTCCGCATATAATTAAAACATGCATTGACTTTCACACTAACTCAACCTTTTTCTTCGATCAAAGGCGACGGAAAGTGTGTCATCTGCGACTCCTACGTGAGGCCTTGCACGCTGGTTCGTATCTGCGACGAGTGCAACTATGGATCCTACCAGGGCAGATGCGTGATCTGTGGCGGTCCAGGGGTCTCCGACGCCTACTACTGCAAGGAGTGCACCATCCAGGAGAAAGACGTGAGTTGTAGGGCTTGATGCGACACAACGTTGGCAGGCAAAGTGTCCACATCTCCGAATGTACACACCTGCTGTTTTCACCCCGAAACGTGTGATCAAGTGACATTACCGACAATCCACAATTTCCAGACGGTTTAGGCTTCATTGTTAGGTCGGACAACAGAATGCACTAGCTTTTGCAGGATGTCCCTTCCGAGTCTAGGAGTTAAGAACGATTTGGAGCCGAAACAAGTTGCCCAGTTTCAGAAGATTTGTAGAAGACTTTACGGGATACAAAGCACCTGTAAAGCGGCCGTTCCGAAAAGCTTTTATTCGAAACCCATTATCGTTTTGATGAGAGCATAAACAATAACGATTATGAGCCACTGCTGTAATAGCAATGTTTACAGAGGCTGTTAACAAGCAGGCATAGAGGAAATCTGCTCTAAGGTTCCTGTTGCCCAATAATTTTCTTTCAGAGTTTGTTTGTTGTGGATTCTTTACAGGTTTGATAAGTTAGTGGTGTGTGAACAGTGGTTTGAATCAAATAGCACTGAATCATCCATAGTCTTTCCAGTGCACAGGAGAAGTCTTTAAAAAATTCTTGAAGCTAGTTATGACACTGCACCCTTCGATTTTAAGGGATATTTGTACACCCATACCAATCACTCATCGGCCCGCTTCTCAGGTTCGTGTTCAGTAGACGATTAGCATTTCATTTGCAATTTTCCGTAGCCTCAAACCAAAACTAATTTTTCTTCCTTCCTAAACAAAAGCAAACATTGTTTCTTCATTGCAGAGGGACGGATGTCCGAAAATTGTCAACCTTGGCAGCTCGAAGACTGACCTGTTTTACGAACGAAAGAAATACGGCTTCAAAAAGAGATGACAGCGTCGCGGCGAAGCCTCCTTGCCGGCGTGGTCGAGGCTTCTGTCAAGTTCAATTTTCTCATCTCTGAAACATCTTCTGTCAGTTTTGTCTTTCTGAATAATTCACTTCAATAAATTTGTAACACGAGTAAGCTGTCGTTTATCCAGACTAGAATGGTTACTGAACCAACATAACAATGCTGGCAGTTTGTGGCATCACACATAGGTTCAAGCGTAGAATGACACCTCAGTGCTTGTACATCTTAGAGCAAGCAATGCCCAATCTATTCGCCTCAAGATCGAACCATGTCGCCACCGTGCGGCTGAAATTGGAAACATGCGAAAGCGGGGATACCGCCGTGCGTCGTCTGCTACGGGCGCACCTTCAGAAGCACGGATCTCGACGACGCAAGCCCGTTTCCGGCTTAGCTTGACCCTCCTTATTAAATGCTTGATGTTTCTGTTGCCGTTTCTTCTTACTAAAGGTTGTGTTGTATCGTTTCACAGGCGTAGAAATTCAGCAAAGCGATTATTATTAAGTCGAAAGCTTCCATAATCTTGGTGTGTTGGTTTGTATGCAATCGCTGGTCCCACGTAATTTTGTTATCTCGCACAAACCATAGCTTCCATAAAACATTGAATGTTGAATGGATCTGTGGTTTGGTATGAAAATTAACCCAACTAGGTTCTCCAGTCATATTACACGAAAGACACTAAAACCACATTTTTTTTACTAGTTCTACTATGTCATAAATGGCATATTGCATTCCCAATTTAAACTTCAAGTTGTGAGGCCCACAGAAATATGAACACGGGAAGCCTTTTAAAGTGAAGTATTTTTTAGTTATTATTTAAACAGTATAATCACCCTCGGTAACATGACAAGCATGCTTAAGTGGTTTACTGTGCAAGCCTGTGTCATAAAACAGAGTTATTACAATGTACGCTAGAGGTTCAAGTGGCGCTAGTGTGCCGACTCGAATTGAAGCAGACAGCAACCAGTCGAGAGTTGACTTCCGGTGATGCATTTCTATGGGAAAAAGTGAGTGCATTTTCTTCTGCGCTCGATCATAAGAGCAAATATCCCAAATAATTCGTGTGTACTAGGTAGCTTGGAACATTTCTCAGTAAGGCCGACGAAATAAGTGGTCAGTTACGCTGTTTTTCTTTCAAATTCATCGCATTAAAAACTGTGCTAAAACGGCTTCGTACCTGTATCTATGTGCACTGTCGGACACTGTTAGCGCGAACACGATGTCGGTGCTTTCAGTATGAGGGATACACGTGCCAAACGAACGAAGAACGTCTGAAAATTATGAGAGACAGCAAGAACTATGCAGCAACACTGCATCAGTAACTACCCGTGCATGTACGATCAAAATAAATTGAAGGCCACGTAATCTATTCCGATTTTAAGCAAGTACTGCTTTATTCTTTCTGCTCTGAGCGAGGATGTTAGTTCTACGTTCAAAATATCACCCGCACGCTCGAAATTTTTGAAAACAAGCGCCCGTTAAAGCTGTCTGGCAGAGAAAACAATCCGAAGAGATACCTTTCATAGCCCACGGCCTTTATTCTCTACGTTTTGAATGTTTTTATCCGCTCATGGCACGACGGGGTCATTTTCGTATAGTGACAGGACTGGCATATTAGCAATATATAAGCGTGACTGGAATGCTGGCGAGCCTTGAACACACTATATTCCTTTCGATTGTAATTTTTCTTTGAATCGTCGCTTGTCTTTTTTTTTTTTTACACACTTTCTGCGAAACACTCGTTCAGAACTGAAATGTAGCGAAGTTAAACGTCGTTCACTGATGAAAAAAACTGCGCTAACTAAAGCAATTACACTTTTACAATGTTAATCAAGGTACATACTATTCGGTACGACCCAAATAACCAAAGTGTTCCATGTTATTTTCTGGCGAAGAGACAAAATGCACGCGCGTTTTTCCATAGGAATGCACAGGAGCACCGCAAAAGTGAACTGGTCGCCATCTGCTTCAATTTACGTCACGGACGTAGACACTAGCGCCAGTTGAACCTCTAGCGTACATTATAATAACACTATGTCATAAAAGAAATAAAGACGTCAAAAATATTAAAGCAAGCATTTTTTACTCCTTGTTGACTTTCTAAAGTACAAAATTCCAATTAACCGGCAAAGAAAAAAAAAATTCGCAATTAAAGCATCACCGAAATAATCTCAAGATTAATCTATGAACTGCCCAGTCTCGATATACGTTAGGCGAGGGCGGAGGGGGATCGGAAAGTGTCGTGAAGCTCGCTAGCCCTCATCAGTTGTTTTTGTAGGCGTTGAAGTAGGCATTGAAGGAACTCAATAGCACAGTGATTTCTGATACAGCGCTAACTTCTCCTCATACTAAATATTTATATTTCTGCAAAAGCTAGAAGTTAAAAAAAAATGCTCAGAAGCTACGATTTCACAGTCCACAGTACCAGTATTATGTTATCTGGGTTGAAACTTATTGTTTTGTTGAATTCCCACGCTCATGACTGATACACCCATTTTAAAGAAAAAAATATTTAACGTAACTATTCCAGTTCTGCCGGAGACAGGCATCAGTCGTGGTGATCCATGCTTTCCAACGCCTGCCTAGAGCAGACGACGAACCCCCAGAAGCGATTATTTAAATTTAGGCTGCACGTTGGCAACACAATTCAATCTTCACTGAAGCACCGAACAGTACCGCACCCCTCTCCGCTAGAATTGTTTTCCCACAAATAGTCTGCGACAAAATAAAAGCTAGAATATATACGCCGTCTTGCGCGCGAACAAGAGAGCCTATGAGCGGCCGTTTTTCTATCTCCGCTTTGATGATGATGATAGCGCGACAGTAGTGCCACCTCTAGGTCGATCTCGAGGCCAATAGAGCCAATATTCAATGTTCTTGAGAAACGACCACATTAATCAATGCCTCACCCATAGTAGTTTGTTTGCTACTGTCCAGACTACAATGCTTTCATCATTCATGCAACATCTAAATTTGATATATTTTCTACAAGGAACAAACTGCCGAGTTGCCGTATCTTGATTCCCAATGTTAGTACGGTGTTTGCATAATTGTGGATTAACGTCCTCAAACCTTTGTGCAGTTTTCGGTCTACCGCAGTAAAGATGTCCAAACAAAAAACCACAATTTCTCGCAGGTAGAAACACACATGAGGCCACGTTGTATCGTTAGAATTCTCTTTTATTCCAAAAATGAAACGAAAAACGGCTGATGAGAAAAGGGGACAAGTCACGCAGGCCCAAGACAAGTATGTTCTCAAGTTTGTTTTCTGCATCGCTTCTGTTTTTCGTAAGCCACCTTGTTTTTGTCAAGTTCTAAAAATAGCAATGGTCTATGACATCAAATTATCTAAGCACAGTAAACGTTTCTGCCTTGGAATGACTGAGGGGGAGAGGAGTTATTATAGCAAAGTGCTAGGACCCATTTGAAAACCACTCTTAAAAAAAAACAAAATGTCAGACTTTTTTGCAGCTTTCCAGCGTTGTCAACGTTCCGAATGGCAGACGTAAATGGCGGTGAAGAGAATGAGTGCGACAATGAAGTAATTCATTCTTAATTTACTCCCCAGAAAATCCGACATCCCCAAGTTTTACTTTTTTTTCTTTTGGCACTATGGTTTGACAATAATGGCTAAAAACGGCCCACGCTGAAAAGGTTTTTGAACGCTGGATTGTCAGCTGACCTGAGATGTATGCAGAGAGAGGCCGATGAACGTCGGATCGAGCTCAGAACGTTGGAATACGACGGCAGTAGAAAGCAAAACTGGGGTCTCTTCGAACGTTTGCGAGGATGGGTTTCTGTGCTAGCCTTCTAAGACAGAAAAATAGACGTGACGCGGGCGAACAACGCGCAGGAGATCAACGGTCGCGGCAATTTTAAAGGAACCGGCTGCAACGGGCAGACTTCACAACTTGGAAGTGCGGTGCCAGGTTTTGTAAAACGAGGGGGACAGAGGGGGCAGCATTATGCCAGCAGACGGCAGTTACAACTGCGTCTCGCAGAGCGACCTGTTCGAAAGATGAACGTGATGCAACGATCGAATAAAAAAAAAAAAGAAACATTAAGAAGCACAACTTAGGTAAGAAAACCGAGAACATCGGAAACGACCCCTCCCCAAAAGGATATGAAATCCTGCATCCGCGCAAGATCTTGAAGGAAGAGTTTAGGGGAATACGACACGAAAGGACAAAAGACCACTCATTCGCAAAGACGGCGCCGGCAAGTTTCTCAAAAAATTTGTCGGCGCCGTTAAATACAGGGCTTTTTTTTTTTTTGCCAAAAATGCAACGGAGGGAACGAAAACATGCGTCGTCCCTTTAAGGACGTTCGGCTAAACACAACATCGTAAACGCACAGCGTCAACTACTACTCCTTTTCTGTTTCCACTGGCCAGCTGTGGATCGTAAGCAAAGAAAAACAACGTGCTCGGGTAGCAAATGAGCCAACGCAAGCCGCTAAATTCATTTCGCAGACGTGGCGTGCAGCCGCAATGATAATCGTAACCGACGGTCGCTTGCCGCGGGATTGCGTCAAGGTGGGTGGGTGGCGGGCAGTCGACGTGGGTGGGAAGGGGGCAACTTGTACTGTCGCCTAGACAAGGAGGCGATTGTCCGTCGAAAAGACCCGGCATCTTAAAACTTTGATTTGTGGGGATTGATTGCTTTCTATGTACAGGAAACTACATCTCTCTAAAAACTGCAAACGCTCCGCTCGCACGGTGTATGTCGCAAACAAACTCCCGCTCTCCTCCCTCGTTTTCGGCGGGGGAAGTCGACTTCTCAAAACCGTCTAGCGAAGTGTGCGGGCTGAATTCCGGCCTTCCGCGGACGTGCGACGCAGTCGGCGCTAAGTCGTCACGGTGGCCAAGCTAAACCGATTTGTCGGAACTGGCACGGCCTTCGAAACCCCGCCGCAACTTTCCCAGTCTATTGCCGCCAAACTTGATATGCAACGTGCCGAAAAAAGATGACCGACGGGAGTGCCTCTACACGATCAGCACCAAAAAAGACAGAAAAGCACAACCAATTGAAGCACGGCGCTGCGCGCGCAATGACAAGGAGACGTAAAAGCCTTCCAAAATAAAAAAAACCCAGAACAATCAGACGATATATAATAGGAACAGATTTGTCGAGCGACCAGCTGAGAAAAAAACACACACACAAAAAAAAAAAAGATTCGGTGGCACTTAAGAGAACAAAAGACACCACACTCAAACCCCTTCTCTTCCCCTTAAAAACCGACAACAAAACCCGACATCAACAGAGTCCTTGCGACGACGCGCTCGAAGCGAAAGGGCGCAACAAACGACACTCGTCTGCTAACACTTTCTTGTATCGGTGGAGGGCGACGTCCATGGTGATTCTCGCTTACAAAGGAGTCTTTGCGCCGGCGCCGGCAGGGAGAACTTCTAGCCGGCGCGGCTTGGGCCAACTAACAAGGAGATAACGCGCTTCACGTTTTTTTTTTTTTTTTTTTTTTTCTTCGTCTCGTTTGAAGCACGGCTGGTTTGCTTGACCGTCGTGTCCTCCGGCTGTTTGCACACACCTGACATCGTTTGGACTCGGTGCCGATGTCGTGCCTGCGTTCTGCCGGTGTCGTGCCGTCGTCCTCCCGACTCTAGGAATCGGAGTACCGCCGTTAGATGCAGGCTGTGGGGAGCAGAGAAGCCGCCGCACCGCTCCCTGTGTCGACGTCGGTGCCACTCGATGTCCGTCCCTCATCGGGGAAATGTTTTATCCCCCCCATTCCAAATGGCTGGATCACGACTCCCGATTTTAGTTGTTCCATCTTACCCTAGTCCCGTTTGCTTGTCTCGTGGGCTAATCTTTGGCCCTCAATCCTTTCTAAGTACCCTTTGGACCGAAGCCCTGTTCTGCCTAGTTTTCTCATCCACTGTCTCTTTGAGGTTACAATTCGAGCAAACCTTTTAACCTTTATCATTTTTGTGTTACTCCCACCTGGAAATTCCTCATCCCACGAAATTCCGGTCACCCAACCGTCGTTCCTCAATCTCCGTTCCGGTAGCACCCACTTTAAGATACGGCACAAATCAATGTTGCCGTGGCAGCACCTCGATTAACTCAAAAACGACTATGTCCTCATTCCGAAGCGTCCCAAAAGCAAATAACACCGGCGAATGATCCAGTACTCCTGACACCCAAAACTGGACCATTTTTCTTGTCCAACAGACAACACTCCTACAAATCTGCAACAGAAAACAATTGGTTTTAGCTAAAATAGAGCCTGCCTCATTTTGCGTACCATTTTACAAGAAAAATCAACCTGTATTTCTAGAAAAGAATGCGAACCCTAAAGGTTCATATCTTCCTGCCCTAACCGGAGTTAGCTCATTTATTGCCCCCAAACATTAACCGCTATCTTCCTTTTAATCCTCGGATTCAGGTGGTTCTATCCGAATCACACACATTTATCTTTGATCACAGCCGCAATTTCCGTTTTTGTGCCCGACGTCGGTAAGGGGGGCGAACCGAGGGGCACACTTTTGACGACCGCGGAGCGGCTGTGTCGTCCGCGGGGGTCGCGGTGCCGGCGGCATGTAAAGGTCGGGGGCCGTCCCCAGACGGTCCCTAAGGGTTGCTCAGCTCGCACTCCAGCATTGCATCCAACTGGTCGGTCAGGCTGGCCAGCATGTGCTCGATGTCGTCAATCACGTCTCCCGAGGAGGAGGAAGAGGGAGGAGGCAGGGGGGGAAGGGACCGGCCTAAGGCGGATGGTGTCCCGGAAAGCCTGCAGAGACAAACAAAAAAAAACACTTTCAGAAAAGAAAAATCTTGGCACCCTACTCTTCCGCTTGCAGGTGAAAGGTGGCCGACACCGCGTTGGATCCAAACCGAGAATTAATCTCTCGAGGGTCCCTTTTTGAGGCTTCTACTCGCACAAACCTTTCGCTAAACAACTCGAGCACCAAGCTGAAGGCTGGGAACATAGGCACATGCGCTCGCTTTACCTGTATAAAAGATTAGAGGGAAATAACCAAAATAAGGCATCGAAGGGTCCACATGCATCGTGCCATTCGTTCCTTTTATATTTCACGCTTTAAAAAAGTTACTGCTGCAGACGCCAACAAGCGGAGTGCGTGTAACTGCGCTTGCAGCGGGCTCTTCAGTCCCTGGTTAATTTAGCAAAAAGCGGAGAGCAAGTCATCCGCTTCTTGCGCAGGAATCACGGCGACGTCGAAGCGACGCCGAGCGCCGATTGGCTCCCATTTGAAGGATAGTGCGTAGACCTCAATGCTAAATGCCTCGAGGTCTACCCCTTATTTTTTATTTCAATCAGCCAATAAGAGCTCGGCGTTTTGACATCCTCGCAACCCCTGTGCAAGAAGCAGACGAACTTGCACTCTATATTGCACACGTGGAAGCCTCGACGCGAGCTCAACTAAGAAGCCGTCACTCCCCAATTTCCAATACAGTAAACTTTCGTTAATTCGACCTCGACGGAACCTTGAAATTTGGTCAAATTATCCGAATGATCGAATTAAAAAAAGGACAGAAAAACGATTAAAACTAAACTACCTTTTATTGTCTAAAGTACTCACGGATGGTTTGCTGCTGTCCGCGCTTAAAACGCATGTCCTAAAGCATGCTCCGGAGAGCAGCGTAACTAAACGTCACATCCCCAAAAAATTGCGCGCTACAAAAAAAAAAAAAAGTTTTTTATGAGCCAATTTTTTTTCTTTTCTTTTACTTTTCTTCTTCTATGCGCCAGGCAGCCAGACCGTCGGCGACAAAGAAAAATGAGAAAAAGAAAAGAGAACTCCCGCTTACCGGCGCGCGAGAAGGACCGCACGCAATGCTACAGAAAAGCTCTGAGGACGCTTGCTGAGAAAGCTTTACAAGCCGACCTTAGCGCCGGGCAACCAAATTGTCGGCGACAAAAAATTAAAAAAAAAATAAAACAAAAACAAAACCTGCGCTTTTTGGCGCGCAAGATGGACCGCACACGATGTTACAGAAAAGCGCTTCGAGAGCGCACGCTGTCTCCCCGCCCGATCACGTGCTACGTTCTCCGCGCTACTCCACGCCAGATTGGTTGCCCTGGCTCGTGTTATTCGTTACGGTCCATCTCAACGGCGTAGAGAAGCAGGTGCGTATTTGCGCACATTGGGCTTTCCAGCAAAGGGCCCGTGTTTCGCCGTACGCTGGTTTTTCTGCCGTAGTGCCGTGCAATGTGAGCCCGCGCGCATTCGCTCAGGACGAATTATCCGATGCGGAGTCTTCCCGAGTTCAAACTATCAAACATTTCCTCCCATAGAAATGTAAGGGCGCTCGCCGGAACTTTCGAACACGATCGAATTAAACAAAAAGTCGAATTAAGCGAGGTCTAACTAACGAAAGTTTACTGTAGTGAGTTTGGGATGGTTTGAGAATGAGAGGTCGATTGAAGAAGCCACTCACTTGTCCGTGGGACGAGGAGGGATAGCAGGCCGCTGCTGGGGGGCCGAGTACTTGTCCCTGCTCGCAACGGGCCGCAGGTCTTGGGGGACATCTGCAGGCAAGAAGACGCGAAACATGAAGACGCGAGGCGTGTGGCAGACACCTCGGCAGACTGCGAGGACTCGCGCAGGGGCCCGCAAAAGCATTCCCGAAAAAATCTGCACCGGAGCAACGTTTTTCGTCTCGTCCTTACTTTTCTGCCTTGGCACTGAATACGTGATGTGTTGAGAATCCGTGATGCAATTATTAGAAATGTGGCTAAGTAAAAAAACATCAAGAGAGACGAGACAGTTTCCACCGGCTGGTATGTGATGAGTCGGGTTTAATGGCTCCGAACGTTGGATGTCGTATCTGGTGCCAGGACGAAAGCGTAACCACTCAGAAAATCCTAGCCTTTGATATACTATCTACTGTAAGCAAGCACGACGATCGAGAAAACCCAAGCAGATATGCTGGTCACTTCTTAATCCACGGCGGACACAATGAAAAGGGTTACGCCGGCACAAGGCAGTTTGAAAGCTTCAACTGCACAACAAAAACTTAAGGCGTGGTGTGCAAGCCGTACGAGGGGTTCAGACGACAACCACCATGAACCAAATGTGGGCTGGAATCACTCGAGGATAGAAGGAAAGTCGATAATGAATGCAACTTACACAAATTACCGATATAAGTTTTGCCACCTCCCCAGCACTGAGCAAGGCTGAATCACTCGAAAAATGTTGGACCATACACTTCAGTAAATAACACTTTTCTTTTTTTTTGTGCGGACGATTATTGCTCAGGGTTAATTGCCCTTTGACTGTGTACAGTGTGCAACAGTGTTAATGCAAACACATAAGCAATTTCTAAAAAAATGGTTGTATTTTTCTCGAAAGGGTATTGTGAATAGAGGCGGACTTATCATCTTGCTGCCTTAGGCAGACTTTAACAATGCCGCCTCCCCAACCCCCCCCAAACCCCACTCCCCATGGTCACTGACCATGGGGTGCAGTGTTTTGGGGGGGGGGGGGGGGGGGGGGGATACCTAAGCTTAAAGTTAATTTTTTTTACAGTAGCTAGCTCCAAAGCTAGAATTCCGAAAGTAGCTAAATTTGGAGCTAGATTTAAAAGAGAAAAGTACCAATTGATTCGAGGGCAGCAGCGAATTTGCCGTCCTAGGCAACTGCCTACTCTACCTATTGGTAAGTCTGCCCCAGATTGTGAGGCATTAAACTTGACCTCCCATGTTAGTGCACCAAGTGAACACTTTCCACCACCAAAGTAGTTTTGGTAACTGCCCTTTAAAATTCTGAAGAGAAAAAAAAAAAAGGTTGCTCACTTAATAGCGATAACAGCATTGTGCACTGTACATGCTCCAAATATTGACTGTTTCAAACCTTCGATTAGAAAACCGACGTAACCCTCTCCGGCTTGAATGGCAAAAAGCCATCTGCAGCATTGCTTAATCAAACATATGAATGAAGACGCGTTGCTCAACAAACAAGACTTGCGAGACGATCGCCAAGACCAAAGTTGCGAAGCCTCTCAAAACAAACGCCGACCTACCGGACCGAATCTGCAACATTTTGGGGAACAAGACACGACGACAAAGACGGACCTGAAAAGACGGACCACTCACCCCTGACGGGGACCTCTTCGGGCGAGCTCCGACATCCGTCCGTCGGACTGCTCCGCCTCTCCGCCCCATCCGCAACGCATCCACCTCCATGCGGCGGCGGTGCCGGAGGGGCTTCCCCGGGCCTCTGTTTGATGGTGCCCACATTCTCGTTTGCGAACGGGAGGGACTCCGAGGAGACGCTCGAGCCCCCGGAGTCCTTCCGCCGGATCAGGGTCCCGCTGGGGGACAGCTCTCCGTCAGAGGAGGTGGACGAGGACGAGGAGGTCAGGGTGGAAGAGGAGGAGGCGGGAGGGGGAGCGGGCAGGGGAGGCGGAGGGGGCTCGTCCTCTTCGGCCGCGGCGGGAGGGGGAGGGGGCAGCGGAGGCTCGTCCTGGGACGTCGCCATCGTGAACCTGGACGGAAGGGGGAGAGGGGAAGGCGCGACAGTCAGAATGCGGTCCCCAGAAAAAGGAAGGGAGAGACCTGGACAAACGTGACGTCCAGGCCATTTTAATGTGAAACATTCTTTGCCTAGGTGTTCGGTATTTCCTGAAGCCTGGATGAAAGCGTGGCCGCAAGGCTCGGCGCCGATCGGTTAACGGGAAGGTCGTGTGAGCAGAGGGGTAGGCGAGGAGTTGCACGACCTCCAGCGCGCAATGAAGGAGAGGAGCTCTAGAGTATGGGGTGTTTTCGTCAACATCATTACGTACACTGTTTTGTTGTTGTGAGCTGCCTGTCGCATGTCGAAGGCCAGCGTTCGAATGATTCATGCGACACCGTCGAGCGTGTAGTGCACTGAGGCCTATGGGTTTTATCACGCTGACATCCAAGAACAAAATGACGGATTGTTGTCACATGAAAACGAAGGTCACCAGGTTTACGAGCCCGATTAGCAATAGTATCGCTTCAATCTAGGAACAACTATCAAGCCTACACGTGGTATGCATTAAACTATCTGATGAATAGCACCGTCAGTGTAGGCATCTGGCGTCCGGAAACTGAGCATCGCTAAACGTTTGTGAGGCTGGAACATTTCACGTCTGCAACGCACTTTGCTGTAAATCTTTTTTAAGGCTCTTTTAACAGCCTTTAAATTCACCTGTTATTTCGAGTGAAGCGCTAGGATCTAGACTGGTGTCATTAGGGATCGTGTTTCAAAAATAAATTGGCAGCAAACTTTCTCTCAAAAGTTATCTAATGTGCAAAACGCAGTGTTTAAAGAGTGATTGTTTACATTTGTTTAGAAGACGATATAGAATCCTTTCGACGAGCTAAGAATGTACTGTTTATTAACTGACATCACCCTCCTCTTTAACGTCACCGTGCACTACGGAGAGTATTGGGATGTAATGACCGTAGTACAAGTCATGGGGCATACATTTTAGTTGGCGTAAAGTTTAAAAACGGGCTGCAGACCAAGAGAAAGGTACTGGCATGATTCCTGGTGGGGGGGCATTAGAGTTATTGCTGGTGTGCATTGTTTCACTTATGTTGCCAAGCCAACCAAACTGGTTGCATCGACAAACCCCACCATAGGGCATGCATCGGTGGACAGTTTTCTGGGAGTAGGCGCTTCTGTTATGAGGCATTCAAATCTATACTTGGCAGGAAGCAAAGAATTCGGGGGAAGCTCCTGTTTCCACTTTAGCAGGGCAAATGTTGGAGAGGAGGACCTCCCCTCTAGCGTTTGCACCGCTAGACTCGTAAGAGGTGGGAGGACCCCCCCCCCCAGAACTCTTCACCGACCGTAGGCGTGCACGAAAGACTCGTTGGATGTTCGAGAGGTTGTAAGCTGATGCTGAAGCACGCACGAAGGCAGTCGCCCACCTGGAGGTGAGGCTCTGCACGCAGGTTGCGAAGGCGGTCTCGGCCATGTTGGCCTCCTGCTGCCTCCGGATGGAGTTGGTGCGCTTGGGGGGTGCCGGGGCACACCGCTTGCCGGACTCCCAGTCCGAGCCCAGCTTGGGGTCCGCCTCCTTGGGCTCAAACTCCAGGTCCGGGCTGTCCAGGAGTGCACGAGCCGTCACCTGGGGACGAGGACATGCCGAAAGACGATTGTCGATGTTCACAGCCTAGAGGAGTAGCCCCCTTGCCCTGACTGCCCATGTCATTAGATCAAAGTCAGTTGACAAGCTTCCTGGATGCCTGGCGCATTTTCGTGGCGCTCGCTACACTACCAGCCTGACCACGGGACAGAGCCGGCAAAACATTCCCCGTGGTGAAAAAAGGATTTCATCACGGTTTTTCGTGGTAAACATAAAACTTCTGCAAAAGTCGGTGCACAAAGAGCCCAGTTCAAAAATGGCAATTCTTTGTTGCCCGTGGACGCGTTGACCCCGGTGGCACTAAGAACGCCGCCCGCCCGTACCTGCTCGCGTGAAGGCAACAAAGAAGAATCGATTTCGAACGTTGCTCTTCCATGGAGCTTGTCAACTGGTAGATCTAAGAATGTTGCTGACTGCTACCAAGCCAGAGAGTGCAAGTTGAGGGATGCATAGTTTACTTTTACGGCAGGGAAGACATGGTCTGAATTCCTCTCAAATGCCCTGCACACCAGATTCCACCTCTAACTCACAAGTTCCAATCTAAGCCATAATTCTTACCAGAACACACGTTGATGTCTGAACCAGAATACAATCCAGAATCAAGCCACGATTCAAATCAGAAGCCAAGTCAGAGTACAAGTAAGAATTCAAATCAGCATTGAAGTAAGGATTCAAAAGTCATAAATTCAAAACAATCGTTAATTCTAGATGAGAATCCAATCCAGAATCCGGCCTGATTCCAAACTACTACCCGAGTAAGAATGCAAGTACGAATTCAGGTCAGAACTTGAGTCAATTCTCAATTATAGCTAGAATCTAACCCACAACCCAGCCAGAATCTAAACCACAAGCTGAATCCCGAGTCTGAACCAAAGCCACATCCCGAGCCCAGGAGTCACCTCCTCACCTTGGCCACCGGCCTGGGCTTGACCAGGCCCCTGGGCCGATGCAGGGTGGCCGTGCCGTCCGGCTCGTAGCCGTAGTCGTAGCCGTGGTGGGACACCTGCCGGACCAGCTCCGAGTCTGTGTCGTAGCCGTGCTGCCTCCAGCTGCTCACCATCTGGTACCAGTCAGGCGAGGGACCCTGCTGGGGGTACCCCTGCTGCTGCTGGTAGCTCCCCTGGTACTGGTACTGGCCCGGCGGGTGGCCTCCCTGGTACGCCGTGCCACCGTCCTCCAAGCTCTCCAGGGATCGGCCGCGATTGGGAGAGCGGACCTGCAGGGATGGCGGTTCGCAAAGAATATGCTCCAGTTTGGTGCCGAAGTACAGATTGGAGCCAGCTCTACAGAGCAGGCTCTGATGGCCGTTTCCCAACAGAGTCCTATACTCCGTCTCATCTTATGATGAACTAAAGCCCAATGCTACAGGCCACCGAATCCAATCACGAGCCTGTCACAAACCATGTGGTATGTTGGCTCCGTTGTAGGTATCAGCGTGCCAAGACACATCATGCGGAGGCAAATTTTCCGTCCACTTATTGAGCCCTTGCAGCGGCTCCATTTCCTCGCTACTACTGAAGACTAGCGAAGGGAGCCTTCTTAAATACTGTGTGAAAGCAATGTGACAAAGAGAACCCAGGATCAGAACCAGTGCTTATTAAGAAAAAGATGATGAGTCAGATCGAGTGTTCGACACGGGAGCGTATGTACTGACCACGTGTGGAAGGGAGATGCAGGTTCGGGTAAATACACAAAGATTGGATTGGAATGTTTTGGCGAAGGCGAAACGACTTGTTAGTGTTACCTGCGCGCTTTCCAACTTTTCGAAAGAGTTGACATGTTTACGAAATATGACACAAATGTCTATGAAACTCAATGCCACTTACCTTTGCTTCACCAATATAAAATAGCGCACTATAACGGAGAACTATATGCGTAAGATTAGTGCTCTTCATATCAAAATTTCTCTCGCACACTTTCGTGACGCGTATGCAAGCTTTTCCCGAGGTAGTGCTCCGCCCGCTGACCTTCGAGCCCCAGTCCATCACAAAGTGTGACGGAGTACAGTAGCGTCGGTCGAAGTCAACAGCGGTCTGCCCACCCACCTGCATGGCGAGAAAGTCGTGCTGGTACAGGTCCGAGGCGCCCAGGGCCCCCTGGTGCTGGTAGAGGGGGCCTCCGAAGTGCGGCTGTCCCTGGAGCAGCGACTCCCCGCTGCCCGCCCGGTGGAAGCGGGGCGGCGACTGCTGACGGAAGGTGCGCAGCTGCGGGGCGGGGTCCCCCTCGGGCCGGGAGAGGGGCACCGCGTTGGCGTGGGGAGGGGGCGCTTCCTGCGCCGGGGGGGGCGGCGGCACGGCGTGGTGGTACGGGTGACCCAAGGGGATGAGCCCTGCGAACGTCAGGAGGAAAGGGAAGGGCCATGAAGCGACGGTTACTGTCAAACGTCCGGTGCTGCTCTCTGTGCGACGGAGGAGAGCTGCTGCTTGGAGAGACCGTGAAGCGACGGTTCACGGCCAGCCAAGTGCGTTGTCGCGGACAGCAAAGAATCGACGAGCGCAAAACTAAAATTGCAGTTTTAATCGGCAAACTTGTGCCAGAAACGAAAGAAAAACGGGCGTTGAGAAAGCAGCTGCGAGCGTTGAAGGCGACGGTAGCAAGCGTCGAGGTGCCGGCGGTACAGCTGGCTAGCGCGAGAATGCGTCGTCGTCGGGAGAGCGAGTCGGCAAGGCCACTCTGGGTTCCTGATCTACTACAATCGGGTTCTCAATCCATTCCACCTAGAATGTTCGAACACTGAGCACTCGAGAGACTGACTCAGCAAGGTCGAGTTGGCCTCCTTACCTATTACTTTCGACGTCAGCGTAAACATGAATGTTCTGGAAGTACGGGGAAGCGTTCCCTCTCGGCTATGCACGCGGCAATGTCATGACTTGAGCTTTCTGCTTTCGCCCTATGTCATCACTAGATGGCTTCGAGGTAAATAAAAAAATTAATGAAATGAAATGAAATAAGGCTAGTAGCAGCTGTTCTCTTTTTAAGGGATGAAGGCTGGTGCTTAAGGAGGCCATGAAACGATTTGTCACTTTGTTAGTGCAAACTTCTTGAGAAAGGAAGGCTGGAGATTGAAGGGACACGGAAACAATGTTTCTCTTCGGACAACTAGAACTGCTCTCTTTGTGAGGAAGGAAGCTTGGTGTTGAAAAAAACCCACTAAACCTAAGAAAAATGACAATGTTTTTTTTTTTTTCTAAGTAATTAGGACAAGCAAGTCTCAAATAAATGTTTGTCAAAAATAAAATTGCTTAGTATGTGTATTAAGGTTACAATTCAAATTTTTCGATTTTCGGGCGAAACCGAAACTGTATTGCTGTGGGATAATGATGATAGCATTTGTACCCAACTAGTGTGAGCTTTGAGGTCCACCGAACTCAGAGCACACACTAGTTGGGTACAAATGCTAGCTAGCATCATCCCACAGGGGTATAATTCCGGCTTCGCCCGCAAGTCGAAAAGTTTGTATCGTAACCTAAATACTACAGTAAAATCCTGAGATGCCCCACCCCCGAAAGATAGCTTGCCCCTATTTTTGGCTTCATTTTCTATATTTTTTTTGAACACCCAAAGATAGCCCTCTTCTAGTAATAGTGGTGTAGGGATCAATGATGGCCTCGACGTAAATGTGGCTAGTTAGCTATAACGGCATATAAGCAAACACTGCTGACCAAGAAGTACAGTCATCTTTGTTTCGTTACCCCTTGCCACCATAACAGGCTTGGAAGGGACGCGACCCAAAAATAGCAATGTTTTAAACTTTTCTTGATTGTCAACCGAGAGTTAGCCCACTTCATATTTTTCCCCCGATTTGCTCTTGATGCTAGGTGGGCCATCTCTCAAAATTTTACGGTCAGCAATATTTTTTTTTATGAACATTTATTTTAAGGCATGCCTGTCCTAACCAGGCAGAAGAAAGACAATTTGTTTTAATAGGTTCAGTGCCCCTCTAAAGGGAAACTGGAGTAGTTCTGTATTTGAGAAGAAAACAGTTAAATTTTTTTTATTTCGTCTCCAGGATCACGAGCATCAAAGTTATATCTCAAACTGATATGCCAAGTAGCAATAACAGCACTTTCAAAACCGAGTTGAAGCCTCCTTCTTCCAGACGCGTCTGGTGAGAGGAGAAAGTCACGACGTAATATACAGAGATCTCAACATTTTGGCACCATCCGCAAGCCTGGCCCGAGCAGTAAAAAGCACTCCACGCGTTCCCTCATAAACAGCAAGCGTCAAGACAGGTTGTTTTTTTTCACGTTTATTGATACGCTTGGCTCAAATATTCGTCATATTCAGATTCACGGGCTCAAGGTACGCTAGAATTCACCTCTAGCTCGATTTTTTCAACAATCTCTTCAACTTTTTCTTCGAGGGACCATGAAGCCATTTTTTCACTTAGGGGTCATCCAGTGCCTCTTTGGGAAGAACTGCTGATGTTTCGAGGGCCCACAAAACAGTACCTCGTTTCTCTTTAATTGGGCTAACTTTGGAGCTATGCAGTCCTCTCTTTGGAATTCTAATTAGCCAATGATCATTTAGTGTAGTGTAACAGCAAATCTTCGGCAATTCAATTTTGAAGCCACACTTACAGTAGCTTCATTGTAGCTGTACTGGTTTTCATTAAACCACGGTTAATAAGTTTGGCTCCTCAAGAAGCATTACTACGTAGTTTCCCCTCTTATAAAGTGGATTGATACGCCATACTTGTATGTGCACATTTAAGATCAGTTATTTCTAACTTTAACAATGAGTAACTGTTTCAAGTGCAAGTGAGATTATTTCTCTTGGACAACCAAATCTTGTAAGGGCTTGCAGCTTATAAAATGTATGCAAAACCTGCTTTTTTTCTGGGCAACAAAGGGTGAAGTTCTATCCCTAAATAAATAGGGAATGATACTCACCCTGCGCAGTTGTCCTCTGAGACAGCACCTGCCCCATGTCAATGCTGGAGTGCCTGATGTCCCCATAGTTGCCAGACCTCCGCAATCCGCTGTTGAGGTCTCGAATCTTCTTGATGGCCAGCATCATTTTCTTTTGGTGTCCTGAAAGAAACCCCATGTATGTTAGCCACCCCACCGATGACATCATTGTGACACGATTGGTCTAACCGTTTCAACAGCTACAACGGCTGCAAGCGGTAATGGTATACAAGTTGGCTTGATACTGCTGCTAATGGTCACGCTTGCGAGGTTGCGAATTATGTTTGTGCCATTTTGTTTCTGCTGGTATGATGCTACGGATATCCATTCCAAGAGAGCCGAATAAAAATACATACTAATCTCAATTACTATAGAGAAAACAATTACGGACACAGAGCCCCCAATATTAATTGCACACCATTGCATCTACCATTTGGAGCCACATTCTAACTTGCTGCAATCCAGAATAAAATAATATATTTTTTCTACTTCATATTCTTTGGTTGTGCATAGACTGTTTTATGTTTTTGCTCTGGCCATTTTAGTTGTTTTCAGTTTGTTTTTTGTTTCTTTTGCCCCGAAATGTTTTTTCCCCTTATGTGATGCCCTTCTTGAGGGGACCCCTTTAAAGAGATACTTCAACGAAATTTGAATTATACCCGTCGTGTTCAGAAATAGGCGGAATATGATCCACAATATCCGTAAATGACAATCGCACGTTTGTGTTTTGAGCATGATGGCTGTATATTTCCTTATGAATGGCCCACTCTGGCAAGCACACGGAGAGCAGCTAGCGGAGAGCATGTCACATCCGGAGCAATCGTGACCCAGTTTGTTTCGCAATGAGCAAAGCTGCAGCGAGGCTGACGTCGTCAGGATGCCCTAGCCGTTCCAGCCACCAAAGCGGACGAAGCATGCCAGCCATCGGGCCACCGCAACTAACCGCAAAGCTGCTTTTGTGTGAATTTCGAGTGACAAGTTAATCTTCCATAATCTTGTAGAAGGAGAATAGCGGCGTCTAGGACACACAACAGAGAGTCCCGTTCAGTGGGGAGTTCCTCCCTCCCCGCTTCTCTTGTGCTGGCCGTAGAGCTGTTGGAATGACTTTAGGTTCAAAGCATGAGTAGTTCTAGGCGAGACTGTTATCGTCACCACCTGTCAAGGTTCCTAGATGGGCACTACAAACGGGGCTTTAGCAACATCCACCAGCTGCTCTTTACTAATCGTTTAATTTGTTTAAAAATTCCTTTTCGTGTCTTTTTCAACAAGATATTTCTGTGTCCAATGTGATTCTGCTCCTTGGAACACGTATAGACCAAAAAACAAGCACCAAAATTTCGTTGTAGTATTCCTCTAAGGTATTTCAACATATTAAAAATAAATTTACTGTAATAGGACCAGGCAAACACTGTTAGCGGCACAAGGTTAGCGGCACCAAGCACATTATTTAAAGTAAAAACAAATGCACCCCAGAGATTCTATGTCTCTATCTTATAAAGAGCATGGGTTCTAAAACTCAGTTCCAGGGAACTGGGGTTTTCTAGAGTACCCTCAGTCTCCACGCTCCACCATTTCCTCGACCGTGCCCTTCCCTAAACAAGGCGTTTTTCCAGTTCAAGAATATTTTAGCAAGCCCAAGCCACCCATTGATACAAAACTATGAGCCAAACAGTTCAAACGTTCGCAAGCTCTGCAGGCGTCCGCAGTGGCTTACTGCACTGATGTTAAAACTAGGAGGCGTTCCTCGGCCATCAGTCGAGAGGGAAAGGCGTTCCTCTCGATCAGAAAGTCCGGCTACCCCTTGATTCGGGGCAAGGAAACGCATCCCAAAAGACGCGACGTGTCCCTTCTTCGGCGGCATCCGAGCGAGGAAGGACGCGGAGTCTCTCACCCAGCTTCTGCATGCCGATGTCCTCGAGGTCCTCCCAGGTGAGGTCCGCCGCCCTGTCTACCGTGTGGTAACCCTGCTGACACAGAGACCCGTAGTACTGCTCCAGCCGCAGCAGCTTCAGCCACGTCAGCAGCGTGTCCTGTCGAGGCCCACGAGGAAGCAGAGGAGGGTCAGAGACGTCGGGAATGCCCTCGCCGATCCGGAAAGACTTCATGTAAGGTCGCGTTCAAGGTCGCGATGCAGGCAGGGGTGCCCAAGACGGCACGAAACTATCTTGAATCGAAGCAGACGACTCCTCGCCCCACAAATCGACCGAACGGAAAGTAAGTCGGTCGTAACGGCAGCACTGCACGTGTGGCAGAGGGATTGGAGACGTGCGAGAGATGTTTTGGCCTCCCATAGTTGGCTGCACTAAGTTTGGCCAAAGCAAATACTTTACCAGGGGGAAGGCAGGAGCTTATCTGCATTAGGCAGAGGGATGGCAGCGCCGAAGCCTCTCACCGCGGGCTAGCTGCTTCGGCGGTCGACTTCTGTCCGCTCTTTTGTTCTTAGCTCCTCTCTCGATGCCTCTACGGGAACATGGGCACTCTATGACCCGCAACTGGGTAAGTCAAGGAAACACAAATGCAGATGGTGACTGCAATGCGATGTCTCAAAGCCGGCATAACTGGGAAGCGTGTGACGCGTGTGTAACCAGGTGATGGCCCACTCATTTTTGTGGCCGTTGTTCTGAACGATCATCATGAAAGTCAAGAAAATATTAGTTTAACTAAACCAACGTCTCCTATTCGACAGCTTGCTGACTATTCACAAAATGTTAGGCACCCCTTTTATGAATGGTGTTCCTATTGTCGGCTGCGTTCCTTGAAAAACAAAGCCGACAATGTAAATGACAATTTCGCCACGCGAAGATAAATGGTAAAAAATATTATGAAGTGCATAAGTCGTCTTACGACAATAAACGCAATACACACTTCTTCCGATCGCAAAACCAAAATCCTTCGTTGCAACAAAATGTCTCTTCAACGCCTAAGAAATATCGAAGTCCGCAAAAATAAAGTCGATAACATCTGGCGTCTTCTGGCGCTCTCGCAACTGTTACACTACCAACTTTCACCATTTGCTTGCCTGCTAAACGTGTCTCCGGCATCTCCAGTTTCCTCACCATTAGTTCTGCACTGCTGTAACGCGTGACTGCACCTAATTACGCACACAGGCACTGCCGCAATAATAAACGTGTCCGGCAGCTTTAAAGCCGCCCGACTTCGTTAAATTTTTAAAGCTTGCCAAAATATGTTAAGACTAGAAAACACTAGGACAACACGACTGAACCACGCACACACCAAATATGCAGGCGGTAGTGAAGCAGCCAAACCGAGAGCTGGCGCTGGTTACCAGCCTATTCAAAAGGGAGAAAAACAATACGCCGCGGCACCTAGCCGCCCAAACGTCTCGGATCCTGCCCCACCGAGCCTACTGTGTTTGCGGAGAATGGTCTGTATTCCCGCAATAGCCTCCTCTCCAGCGTTCACTCTACAAAAGTGGAAAAAGCTGGGCGGAGCTTCCAATTTGTTTTTGACTTATCACCGAATATGTGACAAGCGTCACATTCTTTCTCTCTCTCTTACTTTCATATTCATTCATTCTCGCTCACAGCAACACTCAAACTTGCTCACTCATGCCACACTCACACGAACACACTCAGAATCGCTCACACAAATGCACGCGCCCTCTTAGCAGAAGTCACAGTTTAGATAAGTGCCATTCATTTTCACACCCTCTGGATTCTCTATCAAGAACAGACGGTATTTTTGTAAAAGCACCGGAAAAAAAAAAGACGAGAAGGCACACCCTGAACCTCTCGGAAGGAGCTCGAAACACCATTTTCGGAATTTCATACGAGTTGAAGCGCGCAAACCTTTCAGGAAATGCCATTTTCTGTCTTTTTGAGCGAATTGTCACAGAAACCGAAGGCTGGATCACACACTTACGAATGCTTACATTCTCTTACGACGCACACTCGCGCCATCTATTGGTAGCCGTGCAACCCTAAAAATGTTTGTACTTTTCTTTTTTTTAGCATCATTTTTTGGTCTGAAAAATTTTTGTTTATGTTATAAACGACCGTTTTTCAAAGATAGTATGTACATCCGACCTCACGAACACCTTTGCTCTACTGAAATGCAGTTTCAGAGCCGGCTTATAGATGGCGCCTGCGTGCACTCTTGCCGCAAGGGATTGCAAGAACTTGGTCGTAAGCAGACGCAAGTGTCCAAACCGGCCTTTAAACTTCACCTTGACCAGAGGGTTTGTAACAGCTTGGCTCGAGAGAACAAAAGAGTGGAGGTAACGACTTGCCGGTTTGTAGTCTGGGATCCCGTCCGGAATGTTGAGATTGCTGATTTCGGATTTCAACTTGCGCCGGTGGGCGGGTTTTGTGATTCCGATGGCCGTCAAATCCTGGAAGACGGGAAAAATCCATTTGAATGTCGCAAAGGTGAGGTCAAGAGAATGGGATAAAAGGTCTCAATAGTGTCACATTAGACAAAACTGATGGGTTAGACAATGAGAGATGAAATTTACATCAAAATTTAAAAAGCAGGGGAGTCATTTTTTTTTTTCTTAACGCTAGGCGTTGGACGCAAAGGGCTTAGCAAATTTTATCCATCCATTCACACATACCAGACTGCTCAGATTAATACACAAAAAAACCCTGCTCTTTGGCAGTGTAAGCAAATCTCTCTCTTGTTTACAAATATGTTCATCTTTAGTGGCCGGCAGGTAGTACTTCGGCACAACAAAGATTGGTAACAGGACACGCCTGACACATCTACCATATTTTCCGGATCATAGTCCGCAGACTATAGTTTAAAAACTGAAATGTTATGCAATGCAGACTATCTACAGACTATAGACGTGTGCAAGTGTGGCCTCTGGGCGCCGCCATCCAGCCGCTGGTGATCGTCTGATAGTCAAGCACTGCTGAGGCGCACCGACGGTTTTTAGGCTGGCACCCAAGCAAAGCTTTTTCCATCCACGGTGGCCAGACTAGCTCTCAAAACACGTCTGCTCGCAAATGTCTATACAAGGAGGCATTTCTTCACGATCATTTATCATTACGAGACACGGCAGATTTCATGAAGGACATATGTTACGTTATTGATTATTTCTGAATGATACAAGCTTTTTAGTGCTTTAATAAAGCGGGCTTCTTTCAAGGTGTTTTGTGCATGGGTAATTGTTTCATGAGCGCAGTATGTGTCTGGTGGACTATAGACCGAGTGCAAACTATCTGAAAAAATCAGTCAAAATTTGCCCCTGTGGTCTATACACCAGGTGCAGACTACAACCCCAAAAATATGGTACAAGCATCATTCGTTTTCTGTCGCTAGTGAGACGAGGACACACCTTCGAGATACCAAAGCCGTAGCACTGAATTCTCACCCAGCACCGAAAATTCATCACTGCGGCGCCGTTGCCGATACTCCGTTTCACCTAAGTTGAGACGCAGTCGACGCTACAAGCTGATGGGACCAATCAGACAGTGTCAAAAGTGCACCATCATGGTGTTCGTCAAGTTTCTGCACATGTTCTATCATCGTTGAACCAATCATAGACAGAGAAGGCCCAGTGACTTGCACTCCTCACGTTGCTTGATCGGTCCCATTAGCTCATGGCGTCGGCTGCGTCTGGACTTAAACTAAAACGAGGTGTACCGACATTTAACGAGGTCCTCACTCGTGGCGGAGGCAGACAGAACGTAAATACCTCAGGCGTCATCCTCGATATGGTCGGCATGTCGTAGCCGGCCTGGAGGAAGAGGTGGACGTACTCTTCGAAGTGGAGGTTCTTGAGCCACGTGGTCAGCACCTCCGTGTCCTTCGGGGAAAAGAACAGAAAGAAGTAAGACGACGTAGTCCAAAGACAGTCTCTGTGAACACGTCTGTCTCCGCGCAACTAGAGTCGGCAAAGTTCCAAGAAAACTGTGTCCCCCCAAAAAACGTACAGGGTTTTGATAGCAAAAATAAACCCTGTATCTCCGAACGCTCATTCTCCGCCCGAAGGGAGCAAGCACTAGAGATGCGAACCAGATGCCGAAATTTCGGCACAAATGGCTATCGTAATCGAAAGTTATCAGCAATTTTCTGAAAATTTCTATGGGAAAATGGCGGCCGACGGAGCTCTTAAATACATAGAGCTCCATGGTGCCAGAAACCAAAAGCGGGCAAAAAGGAGCCCCATTTTCCCACTGAATTTTTCAGAAAATCACCTATAACTTTATAATGAGATATCGGTTCGTGCTGAAACTTTGGCATCTCGGTTGGACCTCTAGCGCTACCTTTGGGTAACGGATGAGCGTTCGGCAGTGCATGGTTTATTTTTGCGGTGAAAGAAACCCTGTAAATTTCTTGGAGGGTGCAACCTGTATGAACGCTAGTCCCCTTATAACACACTCCTGCCAAAACACAATTTTCAAAACTTTGGAGTTTGGCATTTATAGGTAGGTTGCACTATAGCACTTCAGTAGGAAGTGATGACAAACAGCATGAGTGGATAACATCCTGAATAGTTCATCTGTGCTTTCCTAAAGCTGCTTGTAAACATTGTGTTAGGAGACAATCAAATTTTTACAATATAGCTGCTGCTAGGGACACTTGGGGTTTAGAGTGAGGGAATCACAGCCTTGGGTCAAGGGGATGACCACGTTAGTCAGATTTGCTCCTATCCCTTCAATTACTGAGATGGTTCAAGGTGATTTCAGACTGAAAGTTTGGCAACTGACCAAGGAAGTCTGATAAATAACTTGTGCATGTCTAGATATTTATGGTAATAGGGCACCCAAAGACTCAGCAATCAAGAAAAAAAACATCTGTGACTTAAAATTAAGCTGTTGTTCTCTTTCCATGAGAAAATTGCAGGCCACAAAAAGCTTACCTCTCACTCTTTCTCAGCCAAAGTGTGATGACAACACAACACTACAATATTTGCTAGCAAAAATAACCAGTGCAAGGTGAAAATTTACTAAAAAAAATGTTGCTTTTTGTCTATGGAAATTTGAGAACACATGGATTTCAAGCAACTTTTCAAACACATGTTGTAGGGACTTCCAGAGTCACTGACGCACATTGCTTTGTGCTGGTTTCCTGGTTTTGGATTGACTGCATTTTTCTCAAAAATAATGTTTTGCATCGTTTCACAGTTGTTGCTTTCTTCGTTCTTTTACAACCTATTTTACTGTTTTGCAGAAAAAGATATATGTTATCTATCTTTTAGGGGGTAAAGCAATTCTATATTTGCTTTGTCTTTATCTAAAAATGGTGCTTTCTATTTTCTGCAGTGCTCAATATCCCCAATTAACGTTTGCTTGTTTTGTTGCTCTGAAGCAAACATTGTTTTAGAAAATAGAACATGACTAGCGGCCACCCCCCAAAGCTACAACTAGTGCCTAGAACTGCGAGCGCGAGAGGATGTGATGTCACAGAAACCAGAAAGTCATGTAAGCAAACTTCTGTTATTTGCTGCTACGCGCACGTGGTGCCACCGAACGATTGGTTTTTCTTCCGTTGCAAAGCAGAACCCCCATCAATTTTGATTTTGATTTAAAATTTTGCACACCGATTTGACATTCCTTTATAAATTTCCAACAAAAATATTACGCCACTCTCTTCACCACCAGCTTTCAAAATACACCCATGGTAACCAGGGTAAGTCACTACACCGTAGGATGTTCCAAGAAATAATCCATTCCAATTCATAACCTGCTCGGTGCCGTCTGCTCGACTATGTGTCGAAAACTATGAAACTGAATATCCGAGATTGCTTCCCAGCAATTTTATTTTGAAGACCAGGACCAGCGCCTTTTCCCTCCCAAACGTCATCACTAATGGATCCACGCAGTGCCGCCTAGCTTCTTTCAGCGTTGAAAAAAAAAAAAAGGATGATGATGATGATGATGATGATGTGTCTTTCGTCGAGCTTCGGCCTGCCTGCCGCTTGGGGCGGGTCGGGCATCCACTGATGATGACGTCACGCGCGCGGGCCTTGTCTCGTAGGTGGTACTGTTCAGAGTCCCCGTTACTACAACACTAAAATAACAACGAACAAAACAAAAGTCGGAAAAACGAGAGAGCGCGCCCTCGCGTTCGCCTTTCCCACTACACGCCAGAGCAGTGCGCAGAAAACGGCCCTCCAGAACTCAGTCAAGCGACACCGGTGACAGCTCGGAAAAGTTGTGCCATCGAACTACCGCGCCTGACAACGTTCTTTTTTTTTTTCTTTTTTTTTTTTTTTATTGGTTTTGCCCGTTTGCTACCGTGTAATTGAAGGGATCTCCCATCCATTTATCACTCGTTTCCGCGCTGTTTTAAATCTGATTTAAAGGGATCATGAACCCTCCCGACAAAGAGACCCGAGCAGATTAGAGACGTCGAGACATAGACGCTAACGTAATTGAGCAAACCCCAGCATAGCTCTGCCCTCTTTACAAACTTGCAGTCACTTCTTTCTTTTTTTTTTTTCTTTTTGTACGAGCTAACTTTTGAAAAGGCAACTGAAGAAAGAGCGAGAGAGAGAGAGAGAGAAACTACACTCCTTTCTTTATAATGAACAAGAATTGTTTAAACAGTTCGCGGAACAAACAACTCCCGCTGACTAGCGCACAAAACGTGACTGCTGCTGCCGCGCTTAAACAGAACCGAAACAGTCAAAAGAAGACAAACCAAGTATTAAAAAAACAAAACAAAACAAAAACAAAAAAACGAAACCAAGAACAAAATAAACTAAGCCAGCAGGAGAAAAAAGAAAACGGAACCAAAACCAATAGAAGACCACCCAAGCCAGCAGAAGACAAGAAAATGGAACAAAAACCGAAAGACGAGACAAGTTGAGCCAGCAGAAGACCAAAAAAGAAAAAAATCAAGCAGAGAATTTGGAGATGTAAAAGAAGTATGAGGGGTAAAAAATAAGATAAAATAAGAAGAAGAATAAAAAGAGTTCTTCCTTTACCCTGAGATTTCGTGCAATATTGAAGATGGAATTCGATCGCTTTGCGCGCCGCCACGGGGGGCCAAGTCAAAATGACGAAAAGTGAACGACCCCGGAGCACAATAAATACGCGGGTACGAGTCCATAAAAGCCAAAAACCGGGTACAAGCATTCTACAAAGTGCCTTTCTGGCGGAAACGCACGAACCCCGAAACTCATAAACAAAAAAACAAAGCAAAACTACTGAGTCAGCCGACGAGAGGGCACGACCACATAGTTCCCGAAACCACCGCACGATGGCGCAGCGATAGATACAATCCGCGCCGCTACAATATATACTACTACAAACCAACTCCCCGAAGTCACCGAGCAACACAGCTTCTTTCCATGCTTTACGAGAAGAAACGTGCAAAAGCTGTACCTATGTTTCATTTTTTTCCCCTCTCTCTTTTTGCGCACTTGTTTCGCAAACTTTTCTGCAGAGGTCCTCGACGCCGCAAGGAAGGTTCCGGTCATAAATGACGTCGTATATAGGCCACTACGAATCCACAAAAAGTCCCGAAAACGACGACATCGTCAACAAAATGGGAGACTCTGGCGGTAAAGAAGAAAGCGTCTCCCTTATCTCAACGCGTTTTTTTTTTTTTTTTCTTTTTGTTTTTATTTTAACGCTTCTGACGATACGCGCTTATGACCTCTGCGGACGCAAACGAAACATCGATGGGATGTTGGTTACGTCGTTACAGCATTCGTACACGGCGTTTCACCTATCGATGAACCGCAACGGACGCTACGAACTACTCCAACCAATCAATCGCTGCGACCGAATCACGTGACTAAGCCCCTCGCGCGTTGCAGGGCCCTTCCTGAAGGTCCCGGGACGCCCGCGCGGCATTGAATGGGCTTCGATGGCTCGTAGAGTTCTTTGCGCTTCATCGTGTTACGAAACGGGGTCTAACGCGCAGCGTAACACAAACTAAAAATGAAGCGTTCTTCCGAAAGTTAGAAAAGAAGAAAAAACAAAACGAGTGGTATTTGAACAAACGACCGCTTCCCTTTCTGATTCGGCCGCGATTACCTGTAGGAAGTAGGTCTAGCTGAACGGTAATCGATGCGGTAGGGCCCGAATCACATGTAACCGGAACCATAATGGCTTGCCCGGCAAAACCAAGCTCTGCAAGGTTCCCTCGAAAGACGGCACATGCGCGAGCGTAGGATAACCCCCCCCCCCCCCCTCCCCTAAAAGAAAAAATAACGAAAGTTTTAAAAACTAGGTTTAACGTCGAAAAAAGGGAGAGGGCTGGCGATCGCTCTTTCTTCGGCGGTCAAGAGGGGTCGCGCATTTCATGCCTCCTGTGTTCCTATCCCATGGCGTCATCTGTAAGCTGGCAGCAGCGCCACAACGGCAAAGAACAGTTAATTCATTGGAAACTCGGTTCTGAAGTAAATAGAGCGGGCAAGAAAGAAAGAAAAAGGACAAGGAGTCGGGCTCCTCACTTACGACCGAACTATCCACCCTTTCAGAAATTCAGTGCCATCTATAGTGGCTCAAATAGCAATCTAAATGTCTGCATGCTAGTGGCAGTGAGAACCTAGCGTCTACTTGTCGACGGCAGAGGTACGAAAGTGGCGGTGTACTTGGCTGGGCAAAGTCATCTCTCTATTCGTCTGTCTCAGTTTCGATGGTGACATGACAGTGCCGCTTTGTACGTGGCGCTTACTAGGCTGCCTTCACGTGCGCCCGGCTACGCCAGAGCCGTACGTAGAGAGACTTTGGCCATGCATCGGGAAACATGGGAGGCAAATGAGGAGGCGCCATTGGCCGAAAGCGGGGCACGTCTTCAGAAATTCGATTGTGGCCAACCAGAAGCCGGAAATAATACCCTGGTGGTCAT